AATCCTGTAAAGTAGATTGATTTTAACCTTTTCGATAATTTTCAACAACGCCCAAGCTACTAAAAAATCCACTAACCATTAAAAGCCATTTTTGATAACTAAGACAGGGGTCCAAATTACGAGAATTCGTGGAAAATCCTCTAAGCTAGCTACACTGCTTTTTGTTTGTAAAATGTGCGAGAGGGACACCACCACTTAATAATCATTCTTTTTTCAGACCGTTTTTCCTTACATCTTTTGCTATTTAAAAATAAACTTTAAGCCATAGAGATAAAGTATATTTTTAGTTTTTATGTCAAACCAAGTAAGCACTCCAGTTAAAATAGTAACTCCATGGTTGCAATATATTAAGTGTATAATCTATGGTTGCAACTGTAAGTTGGTATCTGCTATACTGGTTACTGTTTAAAAGGGGACGTACAGTAAAACAGTACAGTATACTGTCTTCTAGAGGCAGCCGTTTTGTTTTGCGTTATTTTCACTTCAACGTGAAATTGTTTTTTAAATTTAATTATATTTAAAAAATAGTTATCCAAGTTATTCTGAGTTGGATTAATCGCATCATAAAACTAATGATTCTTTTTGGTAAAAGATATTATTGATTTTCAGGCAATTTAATATATCATAACATAATTGCACGGGCAATAATAATAAAAAGCCGAAATCTCGAAATGAAATGAAAACACCAGTGTTCACAGTAGGAAAATGGCAACGACTTATGACCTTATATATTTCCTTTGGATATTTTGACTGTATACCTACTGTCAGTCCTTAACGGAACGAATTTCTTCCCTGTAAGAACACTGAACAGTGCTCGCAGTGCAAATCGGAACGTAGCCACGTAAAAAAGGTGCTATTTTTTTTTATTTCTTAGATGGTTGGACGGGTTCACAGCCCACCTAGTGTCAAGTGGTTACTGGAGCCCATAGACGTCTACAACGTAAATGCGTCACACACCTTGAGATATAGGTTCTAAGGTCTCAGTATAGTAACGGCAGCCCCACCCTTCAAACCGAAACGCATTATTGCTTCACGGCAGAAATAGGCGAGGGGGTGGTACCTACTTGTGCGGACTTACAAGAGATCCTACCACTAGTAATTACGCAATTATAATTTGCGGGTTTGATTTTTATTACCCAATGTTATTCCTTCACCGTGGAAATCAATCGTGAACATTTGTTAAGTACGTATTTCATTAGAAAAATTGGTACTCGTCATGGCGTCGGCGGGATTCGAACACTGTTGCATCGCTCGGTACCAATACACCGGACCGGATCTTATCCTTTAGGCCACGACGACTTTTTCAAAAAGTTCACGGCACTCTCAGTAGGTAAAATAACCACCAGTTTACTGACACTTTATGTCATCCGAGCTCATCTCGTTTTATTTAATTTCATCCCACTTAGTCTCAAATAAACTCAACTTCATTCCATTTTGCTAAATATTTTAATTATAAAACTGTATAAATAATAGCTTAGGCTGCATGGTGTGATACCTTCGCTTTGCCTGTTAGACGAATAAAACTTGATCATGACATTTGACAACATTGACAACAATAACAAAACAATTGTTAAAAACATGATAAATATGTAAATATTAAGTTACTTATTGATCATTTAATTACCTCCACCTTAATGCTTAAGATTAGAAACGTGATAAGGAGAAGGTGCTTATTTAGTGTAAGATATTTTAGGCCATATCAAAACTCATGTAATCGGTCTTATATCCCCACCACAGTTTTATCACGTATTGATATTTTTTCAAACCATTCAAAGATAAAATTGCCTTTCATTATATCATCGAACATGGCAGCGACGTGGTCTATGGGCCCTGGCACTCTTGAAGTGCCGCTATCTTTGTTCGCAACAAACCGAGAAAGATTAGCAAATAAACTCAAAAGTGGACAAATAGTGGTTTTGCAAGGAGGTGAAGATGTGAACCACTATGATACTGATGTACAATATGTATTTAGACAGGTAAGCAAGCAGAATAATAAATTATATTACTACAATCTGGGAATTGTAATTAACAAATTGTACACTTAAAAACGGAAATGAATTATCAACATATAAGAATAAGCTATATCTACTATCAAAATTATCTAGCCTGGGCTGACCCAGCTCCGAAGCAACGTATATTATCAGCTAGTTTGCTTCTTTAAAAGAATATCAACTTTTTTCAGGAAGCCTATTTTACATGGGTTTGTGGAGTTAGAGAACCCGGTTGTTATTTTGCCCTAGATGTTAGTACAGGCAAGTCTTACCTCTTTGTGCCCAGACTTCCTGAGGAGTATGAAGTCTGGATGGGCAAACTGCATGCCTGTAGTGACTTCAAAAACATATATGCAGTTGATGAAGTCTATTATGTTGATGAGGTGAGAAAAAATATTTCATATCTGAAATCAGCATGCTGTATTCTATATGCTCTAAAACAATAAGTAATTTATGATTATACATTTCATAGATACATTTTATGATGATATGACTTTCGTTAAACAAATTATAATAAACCATTAAATACCTTACAATTAAATAAAAATAATTCCATCTAAACTGTAATACAAATTAAAGGGAGAATTAACATTACAGATAAAAGATGTACTCAAAAGTTTGATGCCAGAAACATTGCTGACATTGGTAAGTTGCTGTCAAAATATTCATAAAAATAATAGGGAATAACCTAATTCTGAATTTTAATGAAACTTTATGAGTCACAGGTAGGTTCAACTCAACTAATCAAACATTAACCTGTAATTCTCTTGATTCTGCATCTTCTGCTAATCATACTTGAAACACATGTAAACCAACCTGCACAGCATCATATCTTCAATATGTGTGTACTTTTAAAATGTTTAGTCGTCTCAATGGGGACAGTCTAATATAATATTGTTAATTGCAATGAGGTCAGCCAAACCAATGTACAACAATTATCTTCACTTCAAGTGTGTACAAGAGTACCTATCTATTCTTATTGTGTACATGATTTATTATTTGTGGGGTGTGAAATAAACATTTAATAAATAGGTTAAGGTTTTTGTTGAAAAGAACCAAACCAACATCACATTGAAAGTTATTCAAGTTTCTTATTTCTATCAACTTTAATAATTAACTTGTTTCTTAGAATGTATGTATTTTGTTTTACAGTCTGGCCCAAACACGGACAGTGGCTTGACAGCCCGAGAAGCCATTTTTAATGGAATTGATGAGTAAGTAATCAAGTTTTAACTAAGGACAATAATAGGTTTGAGATAGAAGTTAACAACCATTATTATTCCCAAAAGGGATAGGATCAAACCTATTCTCTACTTTCTCAATTGCTCATCTGCTTTTTTTTCAGGTTCAATGTGGATAATGAATCCTTATTTCCCATTATCGCAGAATTGTAAGTTGATAAATATAAAATTATAATAGTTTTAAGTTTTAATTTCGAGTTTTTTTTAATTGTCATTATCATATTTCTGACGTTTCAAATACTTTTATCATACTATGGACGCCATCAGTCGCGCAATAACCGCGAGATTAAGCTGTAAAAGTAGTTTTAATTATGGTTAGGGCTGACGGAAGTGGAACATATACACACTCTTTAGCAATGTCTTTATTTCGACATTTTAACACAATCAAATTACTGCTATGTCCAAATTGCACATCTAGTAATGATAATTTACCCAGTAATTTCTTTACAATAATTTGATGATTATTTGCACAACAATTTGTTTTGTTGCTTGCAGCAGCTTGGCTCTTGACATTACTGACGTCCATGGGCGATGGTAACCACTTACCATCAGGTTGGACCGTATGCTCGACTGCCTACAAGGGCAATATTTTTTTTATATATATTTATCATGTATTAACATTGATAAGAATTTATCAAAGATTATCTACTTAACTTAATCATGGTCATTGTCAAAGATAGATGCAGATACAAATTGTAATGATGTTATTTGTTCTGACATTATCATTTTTAATCATGTAGATGTTCATTTGTTTGCTATGACGTTGTTACTCCTCTAAATCTCTATCACAGGAAAGACTTGAATTGTGAATAGGTTATAGCCTAATTATGAACCAATAGCAGCAGACAAGCAACAAAAATGTGGTTTTTATCAATATAAGTCACTTTAGAGTTATTTTTAAATACCAACACAATGATGTGGTTTTGAAATAAAACACTTTGTGCAATATTACTTTTTAAGCGAAATGAGCGATATGAAAAAATCGCGAATTAAATTGTTTGTTAAAGCTATTTAATTATATTTAATTCTTGTATGCGTTTGTATGTAATAGAACTTCTCCTTTAGGAGAAAATTTACTTTTCACACAAGAAATAAATATAATAGACATATAAAATTTTGAAGACCTGGCCTAAAGAATAGAAGCTCAGTGTGCTCGTATCAAGCGACGTAGCTATGTCGGTGTTTACATCCCGAGGGCAGACTAAATAAATGGCCTCAAAATAAGTACAGTATGCGCGCGTGTTCATGTCCATCAGGGCCAGAGGCGACGCGCGGTGGACAGCTCGCCCCGCCTTCGCCCGCCTCCACGCATTTGTCTGACGTCGAGTGTTGTCCTTGACGGTTGTGACGTGCGTTTATCGATATCGAAAACTTACGCTAACGCTATTGTGTTATTTCATTGTGAATAAACCATGACTACTCCGCTTCCAATAAGTTCAGGTAGAAAAAAACCTACTGAAAAAATATACCTACTGATTCCCACTCTGATCTGTCGGTAGCCTTTTCATCTGATAATTGAATAAGAAAAAAAAATATTTTTCTCTATTAGAAATAAATAAGTAATTACTTATCATATTTATTTTATTCCATAATTTGCAAAATTACTTGACATGAACTCGGGCGCCTACTGTAGGTAATCAAGAAACTATAAAAAAGATGTTACATTGTTCAACAGCTTATAACCTTAACCGAATGACATATAAAGCCATAGCTTACACTTAATATTTGAGATTTATAGTATTTTATAGCTGTACAATCGTATTAACATTTTTGCAGGCGCGTTATCAAAACGCCAGAGGAAATTGCTGTAATGCGATATGTATGCAAAGTCTCATCTGACGCACACAAACAGGTACATTAACAAACTATTGATTGTTTGTTATTAATGCTCATTTATTTTAATATTTTTGAGGAAATTACAAGAGCTGTTATATTCCAGGTGATGTTGTACGCGAAGCCAGGTCGAATGGAATACCAATGCGAGTCTATATTTCTGGATCATTGTTACCGTGTTGGCGGGTGCCGACATGTTTCGTACACTTGCATATGCGGATCGGGGCACAACGCCGCGACACTTCACTACGGCCACGCCGGGACTCCTAACAGCAAGATTATCGTAGACGGCGACATATGGTGAGAGGAATCCTTTTTTTAAACCACTTTCGGCAGTCGGTGTTACATGAAAAACGTTCAAAAACAATTGCACCCAAACTCAATTACAAAATATTTTTAAGAAAGAATCTGATTTCATACTAGAACCCAAACCAATCCACATAGCACAATAGGATCCTTTCGCTAGGTAACACAAGTCCAACGATGTGTTTCTTTTTTTAAAGTCTACAGTTTTTGCTGCTTACCCCAAAACTCTTTGAGTACACACAATAGCGATTTAAAATAAAAATCTGACTAAGAAACAGTCTGGTATAAAGGCACGAACGTGGCACAGTGTCTATACAATAAAATAGAAACTATAATCTCATGTCTGACAGTGGAGTTGAATACCTGAGCTTCTGTAATTTAAAGTCAAAGAAATAAAAAAACACACAAATACGCGCGGCCGCACGCATGCACGCATACACCCGCACACACCCCCCCCACACACACACACACACACACACACANTTTTACAGAGATTATATTTTATCCCATATCATCTGATCTCATTGCATTTCATTCCATGCCAATCGATTAATCAAATCCATTTCACTCCATATTATCATTTTTCATAAAAAAAGATTAGGCTCTATGGCATGATACTTTTGCCTCTGTAGTTGGAAAAATAGAACTACTAAAGAAATACTCGATCGAAACGTTAAAATCCACTAATTTGTAACACGCACTCGCACAAATGTCATTCGTGGTACTCATTTCGGTAAAATTACTCGGTTACGAGATCACAACGTTAATATGAACTCGCACTCACAAAATAACACCGGGTACGTTTGCCGCTAGGGGCGCTGTTCCAATTGCATACAAATTTGAGCAAACTGGCTCGCTATCGAGAACGTTACAAAACTCGCACTAAGCACACAGGCGTGTTAAGATATTGTCGCTAATATTCTTCAAATTCACGTAATCGCCATTCATATTTTACCGAATTTCTTAAGATTCGATAACATTGCCGTATCGCTACGAGTAATTCGGATAACAATACCAATAAAAATATATTTGATAATAAAACTGGAATGCACCAGCAGGCACTCTTTAATAGCTTTAATATATTTTTACTGGTAGTAGGACATCTTGTAAGTCCGCACGGGTAGATACCACCGCCCTGCCTATTTCTGCCGTTAAGCAATAATGCGTTTCGGTTTGAAGGGTGGGGCAGCTGTTGTAACCATGCTGAGACCTTAGAACTCATATCTCAGGGTGGGTGGCGGCATTTGCGTTGTAGATGTCTATGGGCTCAAGTAAGCACTTAACACCAGGTAGGCTGTGAGCTCGTCCACCCATCATAGCAATAAAAACATAAAAAAGCTACTCTTAAAGGTTTTGAGTTTGGAGTGATTAGTTCTCTTTTTTAAATGCGCAGTTTATTCGACATGGGCGGCAACTACGCCGGCTACGCCGCCGACATCACCTGCTCTTTCCCGGCTAACGGGAAATTTACGGAGGATCAAAAATTGATCTATGAAGCTGTGCTCTTTGCCAGAGATGCCGTTATAAGGTAATCTATGACAATAGTTTTTTTTATGACTGAAAGATTACTAGTGGCCCGGAGGCCTTTCCAGTTTCACCAGGACAGGTGGGCAAGCAAAGGCTCAGCCAGGAGGGGTGGGATATGCTAACAGTTGCCCGAGCGCCTCCGAAGGAGACTTAACAACTCAAGAGCAATTGCTTCGTAAATGAATCTGCTACCGGATCGGAATTGCGACCCGCTGAGAAGATCCGGCGAGAAACTCAGCGGGCTGATGCATGATTTGTCGAGTTCGACGAGTACGGTTACCTAGGCCTGCTCCTAGTGTTAGAGCTGAAGACGTCTAATGCAAAGGTTGTTAGATCTGATGAATCCGTAAGGACGTGTCTAGGGCGTCGACGGTGACTGGCTCCTGCATGATCAGGATTCGGGGAGTAATCAGCGGCGATTATCATGACGCATAGCCTTATCGAAGTACCGTTCCGCCGCTGACTTCATGTATTTCCGGATTGATTCGAGGCCCAGGTCGTCGTGTAGGTGTCAACGTTCCTTACCAACCACGGAACCCCGACGGCTAACCTGCACAAGCGGGATTGTAGGGAGGGTGTCTATGTATGTGCGGGCCGCGTGAGCGAGCACTACACTCGCGTAGGTCATGACGGGCCCCATGCAAGTTTTGTAAAGTGTCACCTTGTTCCGAAGGGACATTTTACTCCGCTTACAGATCATGCCATAGAGTCTGCCGAGAATAAATGCGGCACGGTCGCGCACTGTTTTTATATGCAGGCGGAATGTCATGGATGCATCTAGAGTGACTCCCAGGTACTTGACCTTCCTGGCCCAGGGTATAGGTTGGTCGAAGAGGGTGATCGGGGTTTGATATTTCTCTTCCTATTGCGGAAGGAAATAAGCTGTGTTTTTCTCCGTTGAATTAACACTGCTGTGCTTTTCGCTGGGTTGATGTCTATGCGCTATTTTCGGAACCCCTGTCCGAGGGTTAATGCTGCGCTCTGGAATTTACTCGCGATTAGGGACTTGTTTCTACTAGCAATAGTTTATTATTGACCTAGAGCGGAAAGCATGACTGTTGATGTAGGTATATGGTCTCCGCTTACTGCTTATCGTCAGGTGAGCCATGAGTTCGTTCATCCATGTAGGCAATTAAAAACAAGAGTACGGATGTAATCGTCACGGATGATTTTAATCATGTTTATGGAATCGCGAATATCTTGGAAAATTTAAGTACATTCGTATCAGTAATTTAGTGGTTTCCAGGTTAATTAATCTCAAATTATGTTTAATATTTTACAGAGAAGCGAAACCCGGTGTGTTTTGGCACGAAATGCACCTGACTGCAAACCGCGCTATGCTCGCCCATCTAAAGAGGGGAGGCCTGCTGCAAGGAGATATTGAAGAAATGATTCGGGTATACCTTTACCTAAAATATTAACAGAACAATAACTACTAATTCAGTTAGTTTTCACATTTCGTATGTTCTTACCTAAATTATCGCCTCGAATTTCATATGTAATAATATTAATAATAAAATAAAATTTATCTTATTACTATAATTACGAAATTTATCTCGTAACTCACGTAAACTAGGCCTCACAATACGAATGGTGCTCTGTATGGTCGTTGTCTCATAAGTATTACGAAGACATAATTTTAGATCCCGCAGATACGACTCGCTCGAATTCTCTGGCAACAGTGACGTCATTAAACATTGCAAAACAGAGGGTTTAGTGTGTGGATTGCCATTTATTTAATGTATATGAGAAATAGAATTATTAGATTGAATTGTTGTATCCAAACAAGTGAAACAAGTTACAACGTATTTGTAATTTACAAATGAATAAATGAATTAAACTAATTCATCCGTAATTGTTTTCACGCCACCTATTGTACGTAGTTAGTACTATTTATGAGATTTGTACGTGCAAGCAACTGTATACCTACAGAGTGCTTAGTACGAGTTTCTTAACGTTCTCTATAGCGTAAAAGTTAAGCCAATTTTGTATGCGGTTGGAACAGCGCCCCTAGCGGCAAACGTACGCAAACGATCCCATTCCATACAAATATGAGCTAACTTTTACGCAATCGAGAACGTTAAAAAATTCGCACTAGGCACACAGATGAGTTGATTGACTCACAAACGCATATAGTGCTGGATCGAAGTAATATTTATTTTAAAAAAACCTTACTGTATTCTTTCAGAACGGAGTTAATGGTATCCTACAACCTCACGGTTTAGGCCATTTGTTAGGACTGGACGTGCACGATGTGGGAGGATATCTGCCTAACTGTCCTCCGAGGATGACTGGCCCTCTGGCCAAACTACGCACAGCCAGACAACTCTTAGCTGGAATGGTACTGACTATCGAGCCGGGCTGCTATTTTATACCAAGAGTGCGTATGCTTTCCCTATTTATAGTAGTAGTTTCATAATGTGAAACCACTGTAGATTTATATATTAGTATAAATATAAATATTTGTCAGACAAATGGAAAAGTCTGGAGGAGGCCTTCACCCTCACATAAGAGGGGTTCTTGCATGCCTGCGCTCTAAATTAATATAACCTTTTTTATATCTTTTATGTTGATCCGACTAATATTATACACATTATATTAAGAATTCTATCATAATTAGTATCTATTATTATTAATGTATTATCAACAATTTTTATATTTTTGTGATGTCACTTTTTTTTTTTAATGCAAGAAATAAAAGGCTTTTTATTTTATTTTATTTATTTATTTATAAATATAAATAAAGGCATGATTTATTAAACGAATTGAAATGTATAGAACATTATGGTTTAAATTTTCGGTTACAGTTATTGGATTCGGCCCGAAACAACCCGGAGCAGTCTCGTTTCTTCAACTGGCACAGAGTAGAACGTTTCATTGGCTTCGGCGGAGTACGGATTGAAGACGATGTTCTTATAACGGACGACGGCGTTGAGAATTTGACGTTTGTTCCTCGCACGTGAGTACATACCTTTATATTTGTAGACATTGGCTAGTTACATTGTATGTGTTTGTGTTGTAAAATATGATCCGTACTACGCTAGATCAAAATAAAAAGATTTTTTATGTGAATTTTGTTTAGATGGATAGACGAGCTCACAGCCCACCTGATGTTAAGTGGTTACTGGAGCCCATAGACATCTACAACGTAAATGCGCCATCCACCTCGGGATTCGAACATCGGTGCATCGCTACATACGAATGCACCTGACGTTTTATCCTTTAGGCCCCGACGACATCAAACAGTGTGTTGTCAAACAGTTTGTGACAGTAACATCAGAATTGGATTTATGGTTTGATAAAAACATGAAATCAAGTCATGTTTTTCTTTACACTGAGACAAGATAAAAACATGAGATAGCCGAACTTCCATGCCCTTCTGTGTTCCGTGATAACATTAACACCAATCATTAGGTTTTCCCAATAAATATTCAAGATACCTTGCTTCTTTTTTTAATAAACGCTTTCCTTTTAATTCGAATCTTTTCGTAACGGATGTAAAATTATTATTTTTCTATAAATAAATTTAATGTTTTCATTTCAGCGTTCAAGAAATTGAAGAATTTATGTCCAACGGATCCAATTTTAATAAAGAACTTAAATTCAATGTTTAAAAGGACCAAAGTTGCATATCATTTCAATTACGATATTTTCTCAAACATAAATGCAGAATGACACAGAACTATCAAAACTGTACTATTTACTCTGATAAAGTTGGCAAAATGGAATCTAAAAAACTTTAACAAGAACGGACTTTAGTTGAAAAATAACGCTACGAAAATAAAACTTATTGTTGAGTCAGACACCAAAGCGCTCTAAGGTTACCTTAAGTTATCTAATAAAAAACTATTTATTTAAATTAATATTTTATTTGAATATTATATACTTTATTTGATAATAAGGAAAAGCCAATCCATTTTTTTTCTCTATATTCACTAAAAAACTAAAAGTGTATATTTTTCATGTACTTTTAAGCTACTGTATTACAACAATCTTTCTCTATAAAGAAAAAAGGCCGCAACCAAACATTAAAGGCGAATTTACATTACGAAATTAGTGGCGTGAAATTAATTTCGTGACATTAGTTTTACCAACAGTTTCACGTGTAATTTAATACTTTCGTAATGCATGCATTAATTTCATGCATGCAAATTAGTTTCGTGCCCTGCGCGATTTTTTGGTGAAATTAGTGTCATGCAACTAATTTCATAGTGTAGACGCGACGTGAGACTTAAGTTGCCACGACCACTCCGCCAGGAGTGAACGACTGAGAAGAAGAAGAATTACAACAATAAATAATATTTTATATAACTTATACATTTTTTCATACTTGTAATTAAAACTAAAGTTTTTAAAAGTGTGGACTAGACCCAAGTATTTTGTTTACAAACTAATATCATTGGGTAAAAATTATAACTAAATAAACAAATATTTCAGCAACACCGTTTTTTATTTACAAAATACAATAAAAGCTACATTCGTAATTTAAAAATTACGTCTCAGTTCCGGTTTTCACGAATCAATATTTCTCTGTTCGTGGATCCAGTGGATATATTGATTAGGATTCAGTGCCCCACATGCAGAAATTCAAACATTGTTCAAACTGCGAATGGAATAGGACGCATACGCATTCCATTAAAAAGCTAACAACCAGCCCTGAAAAACTGAGTTTCAAGAGTTAAAAAAGGGTTTCACATGACTAATGAGCTTCGTGCTTTTCTCTTGAAAGTACAGCTGGTTATCAATCTCAAAAGACTTACCATTTAAAAGCGACAAAAAAGAAAAGTAACATCTTTAAAACCTTGCCTAAACTTAATAATAATAGTTTACTTTTATTGCTTAGACAGGTAAACGAGCTGACGCCCAACCTGGAGTTAACTGGTTAGCGGAGCCCATAAATATCAATTAAATCAACGTAAATGCTGACATCCACCTTCAGACACGAATTCTCTACAGCGAGACATTGACTGAGCGACCCTTAAATCCGGAATACAATACTGCTTCACGACAAAAATAGGCACTTGCCAGCACGTGGTCACAAAACCCCCTACCACTAGTGATTACCGAAATTATATTTATTGGGGTTTAATTTTTAATAACGATGTTACTTCTTCATCATGGAAGTAATTCATTTTGTTATATACATACTAGTAAAATTGGTACCTCCCTGCGGCATTCAATCACTAGCACAATCGCATCACTCAATACGATTCCCAATGGACTTGTTATCCTTATCCTTTAGGCCACCACGACTATCTCCTATCCCCTACATACTCCCATATAAATTATAAATCACCATTCTATATTCACGGTTCAGTATTCACGTCATATTTAAGGGAACATATTTCCCATAAATATGAAGTTTTTACTGTTATACATTTCAAAGTTAGATTAAAAGAAATCGCTTTAAGTATGCTTATTACGATAATTTCCAAAAAGAGAAGCTAACAAACCATTTAAAGGGGCATCGTTATTAACAGTGGTACAAGCCTGTCTAATATATACAAAACCATTAAAAAATATTAACATTATTTAAAAATTGCGTCATGTCCGCTATCTAATTAATAGTTGTCTATCACTGTACTCATATTCGCTCATTATTGCTGAAGTGATATTAAGAAAAGCAATCATTTTTTGGCCAATATTTTACAAAAAAATACCAGTTTTTTGGCAGAAATATATAAATACGGAACATTTATAACGACGTAAACTTTTAACCAAGTAATAAAATCCAAAAGAAATTACACTGTGATAAGCACGTCAGCTTTTCTGTGACATAAATCTTCTAAAGATGTTGAGAATAGTAATTTACAAACATTGTAATAAATAAAAAATTAAATAAATGTCATAAGTGAAACATTAATGATAGCTTAAATAGTTTTTCATTGATGTAGGTAAAGGCATAGCTTCTAAAATCTTAAAAAACTCTTTCGTTGACTTTACACCACCTTTCCTATTTCTAATCAGACTGCGAATTCTGCATCTAGTTATGTGCTTTAATGGTGCAACATGGAAGGCCAAAGTTTCTGATGTTACACTGGGATCATAGCCTGCCATGGTCACTAATGTCATTTGCACCTGAAAATTTTATATATTTGTATTATAGTTAATGTTGGATAGTGCAGAATTATGATTGAAATGAAATACATATCTTTGGTAAAAAAAATGTTTGTCTTTCTTTAAATCTTAATATTGGTAAATGAAATAGCTGAATTATATTGAATTATACTAATATCTCACTTGTGAGTTAATCCGTCCTGAAACACCACTGTCTTCTGCAAACTGTAATATACTGTCAGGATCAACATGTAGACTATAAGAAATCATATATGGAAGTGTTAGAGCATCAGATGTCAATGATGCAATAAAAGCATCAGGTATACACTTATCTTTGTAATAACATTCTGGAACACTGCAGTAATCAACATTACAGCCATGGTCAATCATTATTTGGAATGCCTGAAATAAATTTTTAATATTGACTTCCACAAAACTTAATTTCTACATAATAACTATACTTTAATTGTAAAACTTACTTCACTAAAAGAATTAATATGTAAACAGTAGTGTATGTAAACAAGGGGAGGACACTCATAAAATTCTAATGCATTTACTGATACTCCACGCATTAAAAACAAGTAGAAGAACTCATAAAATTTCTCTCGAGATCTATTATAGATGTACTCACATATGTTCAAATGTGAGTTCAGTACTGCATTCGTGCGATAATATGGTCTTATGTCACCTATTTTTTCTAACATTACATGAAATATTTCAATAAAGTCAAAGTATTCTGGACCAAGATCGCTACTCAGTAAAATTTCTAATATATCCATTTTACAATAATGTGGTTTGCAAGCTTTTAATATAGTATTGAGACTAATTTGATGCAGTTTTGTAACATTAAATATTTTTTTGTAATGTGTGTGGTAACCATCAGTTAATGCAATATCTAATGCCAAGTCTCCATTTATGTCCCTTATGTGAGGATCTATACCATTTTCTAATAAGAAGTCAACTATTTCTTCATTTGCCCCTGTCAGTGCCAACATTAATGCAGTCTTACCAGATGATGTCACTTGATTAATATCAGTGACAAAAGGATATATTGCTTTCATAGTTTCAGAACAACCTTTAGAACAAGCTAAATGGAATGGTGTGAATGATCCTGGTTCATTTGGTATTTCAGGACTAGCACCTGCATGTAATAACAGAGATACAGCCTCAAATTTTGTTTCTAATACGGCATCGTGCAATGGTGTATCTCCATCATAATCTTGCACATCAATTAGTGCACCATGTTCAATAAGCAACTGCATTATTTCAAGATTTCCTTGACCGCTGACAACGTGCAACGGAGTCACAGACTCTGTACTTCCATAATTAGCTATATCTTCAACATTTTCTAACAGATACTTCACTGTTTGTGGGGAGGCTTGATTGCGGCAAGCTAAGTAAAGGGCAGTGTGGCCTTCATGGGTTTCGATAAGAGGACGACACTCTGGGTTTTTAAGAATAACCTGTAAGCTTTCATAGCAATCATGAAAAGCAGCTTCATGCAAACAAGTCCATCCTCTGTTGTCGGCAATGTTCGGATTAATTTTTTTCAAAAGCTGTTGCACTAATAGTGCGTCGTTATTCCTTGCGGCTAAGTTTAATGGATTAGACGTTTCCGGATTATGAGAACTGAAATCCATTTCGCTTAATCTAGCCGCGTTTGTTATTTATGTAAATATATTTCTAAAGTTTTATCCGAGGTAAGAAAATACATGGATTTTAACATTTCGATGTGATGATCAGAATTTACTAATTTAAAATACGATTAATATATTCTTTCCTTTGTATCAAATCATTTTGAAAAGTCTATAACAGCCACAAATTACTTTACAATACGATACAAGATACTATGCACTAATCAGTTGCGAAATAGGAGTAATATTTGTAACCTATTAATATCATTTGAATTTGTAATCTCCTCACTTTTAATTTTGACATATACCGGTAAAATGGGGTGATTAGGGATTGACAGGCGAATCGGGAAAAAACCGGGAAAATCTTTCGACGCTCAATATAAGTTTTATATTCGTTGCAAAATCTTCCATTTTTTGTAGTTTAATAGTAGAATGTTGAAAGTTCACAAAACAACTCTGAATATGCATGATAATAGCTGCTAACTTATAAAAAATCGCGTTTCAAATTTACTTCCTGTGGTGGTCATTATTTTAGTGCTAGAAACTTTGCTCTCTTTTATTTATCTGATAATAATAGAAGACGACTGTGATTTATAAACGTTATTAAGTGTTTGAACCAGCATATATATTAATTAAAGGAAAGTCTCAGTTGTTATTGGTTTTAATGTATTTGATTAAATAAAAATACATGTAAAAATATGTTGTTTTTGGGGATATTGGGGACGTCTTAGGTACAAATAACAACGAAAAAGGAGTCAATTGGGATGAGAATACGTGAAATGGAAACGACCTAAGTATAAATAGATACATGTTTGTAGGGTTGTCTATGTAGTTATAACAATATTTTTTAAATTTGTTGGTAAAAATCTGGTTTATTCGAAGCGAAATTGGGAATAAGTCTTTATTTGAAATAGATAAGCAATTTAATATAAATAAGTCGATTTTGCAGAGACATGTAACAAGATCAATGAAATCTCAAGGTGGACAAAAATGTCTAAGTAATACATAATAAAATATTTAATATTTGTTCAGAGTGGGGGTATTCATCTGATTAATCCATGGAATAACCGACACACCTAATCTCTTAACCCAGATAGAAATATCAGCACTGTCGATTGCACCTATAATTGAGGTGATGTCTGCCATGTACTTTTGTCAGTTTTTCAATTTTTTTTATTGATGATCACTTTGTTGGTGCAACTAAATAAATAAATAAATTAAAACTATATATAAAAATAAAAGTAGTGCCAACCCTAGCAAATTTCTCATTTCGTCCCAATTAACCGCAATTTTCGGGTAAATAGGGATTACACCTATTTTTGCATTTTTTGCTTAAACTGGAATGCTAGTTGCATAATTTTAAATTAGACAACAAAGATGCCCCCAAGACTCAATCATTTTGATCCTGATATAGCATTATATACATCAACAACTACCTTAAAATTGCTCATAAAGTTGGAATTTGTCCCTAATCGCCCCATTTTACGGTACCGTACCTCACTGGGTGATAATTTATTTATTGGTCCATGCAAATGCACAAGGAACTTAGTCCGTGCAACTTAATCTTTTGTAATAATGATTGTAACCATATCTGTTGTGTGAAAATGTCCTTAATTGATATAAAGTTTATTATACAGAAAAACGGAGCTAAACGAAGTGGGTTAAGACAATGATGCATGTGTCGGAATCATCATAATCGGTTGCTCTTGGCAGAGTGGTCGTGGTTATATGGAATGTGTCGGATTAGATAACATGAAATGACCTTTCATTGAAATTTTGGGAATTTAGTGCGAGAAGTCACGATTTTGGTTCACTTTCGGCCATTGCTGCACTTTCATAGATGATAAGCGAACATTAAATCGCCATTATTACCCGTTCAAACTTGAAGAAATCCTTCTTAAGCAAATAAAGCGATTTATAAAAAAACTTAAATCACGTTCCCGCCAAAAAGTCCTAGCTAATATTTATTGATTTTTTGTTGTTTTTTAAATTAACTAGGCATCCCAGGCAGAATATGTACTACTTTTAATGTTTTGTGAAAAAAAATCGAATTTTTGTATTACATTTCCTGCATACTTCATCAACTTTATAAAATTTATAATCACATTTGACCTCTATGCGTTTCCAAACCATTCACCCGAACGGAATGAAACTTGATACAATTATTATTGGCTGGTTTCTGTCTTAAACAGTTAAAAAAATAGGCATTTATTTACTATTAAATATACAATGTTACAACAGTATATCTACGATACTCATCCGACCGCGACGGGGCAACGCAAAGCCGCCGTCGCCGCGTCGCCCGAAACATGTGTTGTTCGGATCGACAAATTAGGATTACGAAGAGTTTAACGAGCGAACTAACTCATAGACACAGCCCACTGAGCTTCTCGAGGATCTTCTCAGTGTGTCGCGATTCCGATCCGGTGGTAGATTCTGCGAAGCACTACTCTTGCTAGGGCTAGTGTTAACGAATTCTCTCAGATTGAGTCCGTGATCTCACCTACCCGTCCAGATGGAAAAGCTTCTTAGGCTACCAGCCGGGGTCGCGCCGACCCCCGGCAGCGCCTGTGTGCGAAACCCATGAAGCGCCTCCTATTTTTACGTATCTTCATTTTCAATGTATTTTTTTAATTATTTGTTAATTTTTGACTTATTGTTTTGACATAAATCTTAGGATTCTTGTACTATAAATGAATTATATGTTTTGTTATTTACAAATTATATGTTGTGCCTATTGTACCTACTTATTTATCGATACTCCACTACAAAGAATTTGTTGTTGTGTAAGTGTAACGTAAATAATTTCGATGGCAGCGCCCTTATTGTCGTGGCACCTGTGTGTACCGTACACTTTGCATATAGGGGCGGCGCGGCCCTGCTACCAGCGAATAGGTAGGGGAAAAAACTACGATAACTAGTGCGCGTGGAGTTTCAAGAAATTAATTCTCTTCAGTTTTATAGAAATAATAAGCTACAACACCAAAATTATATCAAAAAAGATTTATTTTCAATTGAATGCAAAAATATTCGCACAATTGACATGTTTTAGTTAATTCTAGTTGGAAAAGCAAGATACACTACAAATTATGATTATAGGTGATACACAATCACCCGAAAAACAATTCTGTCGATCACTGAAAAAGGAGCTTGAAACGAACTTACATTCTACTCTTAGCACAATATTGCTACAGACTTCATTACCTAGTTAGTCGCGCATAAATAAGTTTACATTCGGACTTTTTAACGGAGTTTATTTCAAGCCTCTTTTTGTAAGATATCGCGTAACCGTAATCCAGCAGTAAAGAACGTATTAATGTTACTTTAAATAACAAGTCATTCTTTTGACAAACATCCATTTGTGAATTTCATCGGTGGCAAAAGCGGTACACGAGGTAAAGAATTTGAACGCGGCGATCGTGGTTCACGGGGAGACCGGGTACATCTCGACGTCGGGTAAGGTCGGACGCGTAGTTCTTCGGTACTCCGAAAATTGTTACGAAGTACGCGACCTCTATAAAGCGACGTCACCGACGTTTCTTGCAACAGGCATCTAAAATTTACAATGAACTTATCATGTCTGTAATATTTAAATCTTTACTCTAAGGCGTATTGGACTAGACCCATTTTCTATTGGACTACGCTATTGAAGACTCACTTCTCTAATTCTGAAAGTTGCTGCTTTGGAGTAGATGCAGCGACAGGTCTTGCTCTTCCAAGCTTAGCGCGCGTCGTTTGCAGCATCTGTTGCGTCACCAAGGGTTGCGAATTATCTTTTGGCTTTGCTCGAACAGGATTATCCTGCAATACGTAAATTATCTTCATATTGAATTTTGAAATTCTATTACAGGCCACCCATCTTATATAAAATCTGAAAAATCGATTAAAATTCGCCTTCTAATTAAAATTAAATAACCCCCCAACTTGTACTAGGTGCGATAATAGAATCTAAGCTTCTCAGCCGGGTTTATCCAGTAATTAGTGTGAGAGTGGTTATCTACTAGGAAAAATATCCTGTAGCTATCGACTCGCTACCTACATTTTTCAAATCGTTTCAGCCGGCAGGGAGCGGCTTGGCTCAGCCCATGACATTGCTGAAATCCATGGGCGACGGTAACCACTCACCATTAGGTAAGCTGTATGATCGTATCCCTACAAGGGCAATAAAAAAAAGCCACAGGAAATTAGTGTGCCAATTAGTGTACCTTTTTGATTTTTTTTTTTAAATATGTGATAAAGACAAAAATAATTTTATCCCGATTGGACCTATTCGCAAAAGTCGCTCATAGTTCACTTGAACTATGAGAGATACTTACCTTAGTTTTCCTTAACTTCACATTGGCTATATCCTGTGGTGTAATAGTGAGACGAGGGCCAGCGATTCTCGGAGGCGCTGATCCACACCTCGGCAAAGTGTGTGACCTCACTGGCAATTTCGAAACTGGTTGAGGTGGTGGTGGCGGCGGCGGTGGCGGCGGCGGCGGTGGGGGCGGAGGCGGAGGTGGCGGTCCTTGTGGCCCCGGCTGTTTCCTATCTTCTCTAGATTATTTCATTTAGTTAGTATAAAGTTCAAAGTTCTTGACAGTACACCGGTGGCGATTAAGCTTATACCTATATATGATGTTTGTATTTACGAATATCCCACTCTTTAAACCAAACTGAACAAAAGGGTATGTGTGTATACTATGGTTGCAGCAACCAGTAAGAAAGATAAAATTACAATTTATCGTAGGTACGAGAAAGTTAGCCACGGAAGAAAAAGTTAATAACAACAATGCTACTACATAACAATAATGCTACTAGCTTTTTCTACCGGATTCGCTCGTAATACAATCAAACCTAAAATTAATGGAGGATATAAAAATTATAAAGAGTGGGCTAAAGTAAATACCTGCACACTGGTACTATTAATAAAACGAATTTTAATGAGAACGGCAGTTCAACTATAGATGAATAAACAGACCTTCATGCGCCCTTACACTCTGCAGAATGTAGTGTGAATTTGAAGTTCGATCATACACTTTTAGGTTAATTCGATAATGGAGTAAGTTTTGTTTAAAATGTATATGCTAAACTTTAGCACCCTATTATTTAAATCTTAAATAGGCAATGTGGTAGAGCGTATTTTATTGCGAGGTTTGGGTAAGAACATTTTACCTGTTTACCTATCCCAGGTCTTGGGATGGCCATTATACCATACAATTGAGATTTCGACCTAAAGTTTACGTTTGGATGCTACATTTTCTGATAACCACTTGGCACTAGGTATTTTTTATTCTTTTATTTCTTAGATGGGTGGACAAGCCCACCTGGTGTTACGTGGTTACTGGAGCCCGTAGACGCGCTACCCACCTTGAGATATAAGTTCTAAGGTCTCAGTATGGTTACAATGGCTGCCCCACCCTTCAAACCGAAACGCATTACTGCTTCACGGCAGAAATAGGCGGGGCGGTGGTACCTATCCTTGCGGACTCACAAGATCTCCTACCACCAGTAATAACGCCAATTATAATTTTGTGGGTTTGATTTTTATTACACGACGTTATTCCTTCACAGTGGAAATCAATCGTGAACATTTGTTAATAAGTACGTATTTCATCAGAAAAATTGGTACCCGCCTGCAGGATTCGAATACCGTTGCATCGCTAGATACGAATGCCACGACTTTAAAGAGGGCGAGAGCAATAAATAAAATAAAAGATAAAGTAGTGTTAGGGGATGATGTCGGAATATTGTGCAATTGAAGTACTACATTTCCATCTTTACGTCAACAGTTTTGAAGATATAGTTGACGTTTTGATTGTTACCTACCTACTGCCAGTAACCTCGAGGGGTTATTCTGGCTTCACCTTGTGTAATTATGATACAAAAGTCTATACCCCTTGAGGTGAATTAAAAAAGGAACACTCGTTTTGTTATTGTTAGTATAGCCGGTAGAGGCAAAGAGAACTGTCTTAAAGAGGGTACAAATTTAAAAAGTGTGTAGTTTTTTTTAATTGCCTTTTTTTAATTACCTACCTTGTAAACCGAAAATAACCCCTAAGGTTATGGAAGTAGTAGTCGCAAAAGAAGCGAAGTTTATTTAGTGGAAACAATTATTTAAAGTAATAACTTTTGGCGATATCTTTGAAATTATACCACATTCTATGATGGCGTCACCCTAAGCGGTCGCTTTTCGACAGACACTTTTTCATACAGAGAGTGCTGCTGACCTTTAGTCTCCATATTTGGTATACTCAAAATTTCATATTAACTATGTTGGTATATAAGATAACGAACGGCACACATTTAATATTTACCTAAGCTTATTCTCGAGTTCTTCAATTTTCGACATCATCTTCGTCATTCCTTCCCTGAGCATTTCATTTTCCTTAGCAAGCCGTGTCTGTTTCATGTCTACTTCTTCAAGGAACTTTCTCAATTCCTTCATTTCTTCTGTTGATTTTTCGTTGCATTCTCTCTGAGATATTGGAGCTCGATGAACGTCGTTGTAAAGACCGGTCAGTGACTGGAAGCCCTGAAAACGTAAATTCCCCAATAACATTTTATTATTTCTCAGCCATTTTCCTCCAATCTCTATTCATAAATAAGTACTTTGGTTTTGTATGTTTATGAAAGTATCGTTTCGTATGTGTATATTTATTAAAACATGCTTAATAAAGTGACTACAATATTTTTACATACAAGAAACTTTTGCATTTATGCGCTTGTACCTATTTATTTTTAGCTGTTGTACCTATGACTTTTATGCAAACTACGGTTCAACGAATAAAAAAAATCGGATCAGAAATATCATTTAAAAATTTAAAGATTGATTTTATTCTAGAAAGAGTGTGCAGTATTTTGTACAATGACGTCAATGTTCAAGAGAGCGATTCAAGTATTGGGGAACGTTTCTTATGAATAACCAAAGATGCATAGCTTTAAGGNCTATACTTTCCCTAAAATAAAGAATAAATTGCGTGGACAGAGATTTTCATCACCTGAAGAAGCTGTGGACGCCTACAAAACGGCCATTTTGGAGACCCCAACTTCCGAATGGAATGGTTGCTTCAATGATTGGTTCCATCGTATGGAAAAATGTGTCAAATTTCGCGGAGAATACTTCGAAAAGCAATAAATACATTTTAAAATAGTAATGTTGTGTCACTTCGTTAATTCCCGAAATTTTCAGTGCCGCCCTCGTACCCCTTGAGGTGAATTAAAAAACGAACACTCGTTTTGTTATTGTTAGTATAGCCGGTAGAGGCAAAGAGAACTGTCTTAAAGAGGGTACAAATTTAAAAAGTGTGTAGTTTTTTTTAATTGCCTTTTTTTAATTATCTTGTAAACTGAAAATAACCCCTAAGGTTATGTAGTAGTTGCAAAAGAAGCGAAGTTTATTTAGTGGAAACATTTATTTAAAGTAATAACTTTTGGCGATATCTTTGAAATTATACCACTTTCTATGATGGCGCCACCCTAAGCGGTCGCTTTTCGACAGACACTTTTTCATACAGAGAGTGCTGCTGACCTTTACCCTCCGTATTTGGTATACTCAAAATGTCATATTAAATATGTTGGTATATAAGATATAACGAACGGCACACATTTAATATTTACCTAAGCTTATTCTCGAGTTCTTCAATTTTCGACATCATCTTCGTCATTCCTTCCCTGAGCATTTCATTTTCCTTAGCAAGCCGTGTCTGTTTCATGTCTACTTCTTCAAGGAACTTTCTCAATTCCTTCATTTCTTCTGTTGATTTTTCGTTGCATTCTCTCTGAGATATCGGAGCTCGATGAACGTCGTTGTAAAGACCGGTCAGTGACTGGAAGCCCTGAAAACGTAAATTCCCCAATAACATTTTATTATCTCTCAGCCATTTTCCTCCAATCTCTATTCATAAATAAGTAGGTACTTTGGTTTTGTATGTTTATGAAAGTATCGTTTCGTATGTGTATGTTTATTAAAACATGCTTATTAAAGTGACTACAATATTTTTACATACAAGAAACTTTTCCATTTATGCGCTTGTACCTATTTATTTTTAGCTGTTGTACCTATGACTTTTATGCAAACTACGGTTCAACGAATAAAAAAAAATGAGATCAGAAATATCATTTAAAAATTTAAAGATTGATTTTATTCTAGAAAGAGAGTGCAGTATTTTGTACAATGACGTCAATGTTCAAGAGAGCGATTCAAGTATTGGGGGAACGTTTCTTATGAATAACCAAAGATACATAGCTTTAAGGACCTCAGAACAGTGTTAACCGATGTCGATAGTAAATTAAAAAAATTTGAACACGCATATTGATAGATTATACACTTAATATATTGCATATTCATAAGCATTAGGTTGAATAAAAATGACGTACCCAATTATAATTAAAAATGATGCCCACCCACGGTTTCACCTGTGACGACAATCTTCGCTTTAGATCGCGGTTTTGCGAAATATGAACATAACAAAAATGCTTAGCCTAATACTTTAATGAATATATTTTTTTTACTATGCTGAGATGACTTATAACGTTTCTAATTTACGATCACACTGCTTTCATAATTAAGGCTCCTACCGAAGAAGAATCTACACCGAAACACTCCAATTCGTAACGAAAAATGATATGGCACATAATACAATTTTCACCCCAGCAGCTCAAACATGCCGCTTTTGCTGCAAGACAACAGTGAACAAAACACGATTTTGATTCGAGCGTGGGTCAAAGTAGCTTTTTAATTTTTCAATCTTCAGTGCCACAAATTGACATTGTTCAGCCATAAATTTGAAACATTTGAATTTTACTGTGCTCTGTCTCTTTCACATGCATATAAAAAGCGAGTGAAAAAAAATAAACCCCTTCGAAATTCGATTTTGGAATTCGACCTCAAAGAAAACACGTTCGGAAACGCGTAATACTACCTTAAAATTTAAAGATATTTGTAATAAAGAAATTACACTTTTTTTTAATAGTTATTTCAATCTATTCCTTTCTATGTTTCCTAAGTAATATGTTTTCTCACTGCAGAGGTGAAAATTTATGTGTGCTACACTGGGGCAAAGTTTTTTGCATCTCGTGGCGTTGAGTCCCTCACTACGCTCAGGATTCTAGCATGGAATCACTCGCTACGCTCGTGAATCAATCATAGCATCCTTCACTTGCTCGGGATTCAAAATCAGCACTCGAAACAAAGAACAACTTTGCTCCTTATTGCACAAATAACTATTAATCAACTAACCTTTTTTCCAATCCAAGTACAGAGGTCAACGATCTTCCACGATTTGGCCTTAACATTGCGCCGGTTGTTCCTCTCCTTCCGAGGTGTACCACCTGACAACGTGAACCATTCCATCTCACTTAACAGATTTGAATCTAACGCACATTCAAACTCCAATTCTAGTTTGACACTAGTATCTTCTTTATATCCACTCATTTTTAATTAAACTTTTAAACACTAACGCTACAATAGTTAAATACAGTTAAACTCTTTATTTAGCTCGTTTTAATAATATGTACGTAAATTAATTTAGATTAAAACAATAAAAACTCAAAATATTATTCAGGCAATGGACTCGAGTCTCATCCGTTAGTCTCAAACTCGTATTGATAATTAAGATCAGAATGATGATGTCAACGCTATATACGTGAGCAGGCAAGGCTGACTGTTGTTTATAAAATTAAAAAAATATCATCTAAGATAACTCCGTTAAATTCTTGTGACTCGTGGATAGCATATGATGTAGTTTATCTGTTTCAATGTGTTTTTAAAGGTATGTTGTTTATCGTAGGTCAAAAGTCAAAACGAAACAACAACTACTGGAAAGAATAACGTAAAAGTTGAATTTGGTAATTGTTTCGAATACATAGGCACTGTTCGTAATCCAATTCAGATAACGTGAATAACATAATAGGTGAATAATGAAAAAATCTACATATTTAAGTACCTAAGCGTATACCTAATGTGCGAACGGTACTCTATTAAAAGAACAAAGAAATCAATCTCTATAAACTTTTTTATAAATAGAAAAAAGGTTAATGTTTTCAAAACGTTTTCTGAACATTTATGTTATTAATATAAGTTTGGTATTACTTTGCCTGGGAATGACAGAACATAAAATACCAATACGACCTCAATGTAACCGAATTATTTTCATGCTAAGAGGCCGGCTGAACATTATTTCGCGCACCTGACGGTAAGTGCTGATGTCTTAACAATCGGGCAAATTTAAAACAGGAAGAATCCACTTTATTTCCTATTACACTTATTTTAAATTAAATGTACCTAGGAAGACTCAATAGTGACACTAAGAGGTGTGAAAAATAGTATTTATAGTATTTATACTTAAAAAGTATTTATAGCAACGTTTAAGTTAAGTTATTTATTGGGTAGGTAGTGTAAGTTTTGAACTCTATTACAAATGAAGTTTAATACAAAATGTAATATCTTAAATTGAAAAAAAAAATCGAGGCTCAAAAAGGAACGTTTTAAAACTTAAATCGATTTTATTACCTGGAGAGCTATTTTGAGAATGATTGAGTCTGGATATATTCATAGGCTTTCTTGATCTCTGAATAGCGTCTCTAAATAAGTTAGTTTCGGATTTCAATCGTCTTTTCCGTACTTTATAAGAATGGCTACTGTTAACTGATTTAAATGAAACATCAGAAGTACTGGATAATTGACAAGATGAAACCGATTGGGTAACAGAGTTCTTGTGATCAGTCAAATCTGATGAGCTCGATGTACAAGATTCTGTACACTTCGTCTTTTTCCATGGCCTCGAATCCTTTTCATCTCCATCGCTGGAGTTTCGTCGATAACGCTTGCTCGCCAATGATTGTTGAAAGTTTTCATTGCCATTAGATAATAAATCGTTTATATTAAAGTCTTTACTGAACGACAAACTCGCGTCATTGACACTACCGTTGTACGGTAGCGTTACATATGTTTCTGTTTGTGTCGAACTATCCGTCAAGTTCCCAGAAGTTGAACTTGCTTCGTCACCGAGCACGATACTTACGAAAGGCGGCGTATCGTTGTTTTCTTTACATATCTCATGCAGGGATGAATAATAGCTGCGATCCCAAGAAACAATCGATTCCTGCTGAGAGCTTTTACGCATCACTTCAATAGAACTGTTGTGAAAAATCCCAACGTCTTCAGTTATGTCCATGACATTTGATTTAAAAAAAAATTCAGTCTCTAATGCCATGATTTTGTCAGAAACGTAACTTATCTTAAAACAGGTTTGTTTACTGATTCGTGTTGGGTTTTTTTTCATTTATTTAGAGATCGCTGTATAATCTTAAACTTAGTGTAATGAAAATTTACACAACAGTTGATTTGATGGTTACTTGGTCACCTGTTGTCAGAAATTTATGACTACTATTCTTACTACCTTCATATGGAAATAATTGAACCACAGAGAGGTTTTCGTGGTTCTATTAGTCCTATTAATTTGTTAAATTGTTAATAGCTCTGTTTGTTTTTCATCTGGACTACGTTGAAGTTTAAATTGCTTGCCCGTATCCATGTCCACGAGATAAGTTGAAAAAATATGGCATTCTTATTAAAAATACAAAAACTGCCATTTTTTTAAATGTTTTTAATTTTTATGATGCATATTTTGTAATTATTGATATGTAAAATCCAGCCACGCTTTCTTATGACCCGAAAAATAATAATATGAAAATAATACTTAAAAAATATGTAAACATGTCCTCAATCTGTTGTCTCGAGGTGAGTGCATAGATTATTGTATGGTGGGTGGCGGTATTAACGTTATGTTAAGGGTCCGGCATGCAATCCCTTAACATCTGATGATCCGTGTCTTGTATAGCGATTGTCCTATCTCTCAAACTCGGACACATGACTGCTTCGCGTCAAATATATAGATAGTAATAGATAGTAAATGTAGTTACAGTTACATACGAGACGTGAAACCTAGCCCATAGACACAATCCACTGAGTTTCTCGCCGAATCTTCTCAGTGGGTCAATATTCCAATCCGATAGTAGATTCAGCGAGCGATTGCTCTTGCTAGGGCTAATTTTAGCAAATTCTCTCAGGTTGAGCCCGTGAGCTGACCTACCTGACCGAGCGTAGGTAGGTAGGGGAAAACAGGTTATCGTACACATGCGAGCTCCAAACATGCTCTACTACCAGCAAATGCTCTTTTGGATTTTGTTTTATTATTTTTTTGCTTGGTTTAGACCAGTGTCGATAATTTTTAAAACCAAAAAAAATTATAGTAGGATGAAACCCATTAGAAAAGGAGGGGAATATTATAAAAATGATAGGAAAAATAATTTACGGGCGATCTGAGGTCGGGAAGGGGATCGGGGGGGGGTGTGTTTAAAGGTAAAAAACGGTTTTTCTCGATTTCCGGCAAAACTAAAAGTCCTTTGGAAAAAGTCAAATGGCAAAGTTGTAGGTAATAAAAAGATCTAACACTTTTGTATTTACACTTTTTTCACTTAACCTCAAAATTTATGTGAAAAATTCAAAAAACCAAGTTTTTGGTTTTTTATTTATATCTTTTTAAAAAAAAAAACTTTTTTCACGAAATTTGGTGAAATCTTACCTTTTTATGCCCCAAATACGCTGTAATTTATTTGACTATAAATATTTATTTTTTCACCTTATTNATTCGATTGAAAATTAGGGTGCTTTTTCGATATCAATTCAAAATAAGGTGAAAAAATAAATACTTCTAATCAAATAAATTACAGCGTATTTGGGACATAAAAAGGTAAGTTTTCAGCAAATTTCGTGAAAAAAGAATTTTTTTTGAAAAAGATAAACTAAAAAACCAAAAACTTAGTTTTTTGAATTTTTTACGTAAATTTTGAGGTTATGTGAAAAAAGTGTAAATACAAAAGTTTTAGATCTTTTTACTACCTACAACTTTGCTATTTGACTTTTTCCCGTAGGACTTTTAGTTTTGCCGGAATTCGAGAAAAACCGTTTTTTACCCTTAAACCCCCCTCCCCCCATCCCCTTCCCGACCTCAGATCGCCCGTAAATTATTTTTCCTTCCATTTTTATAATATTGTCCTCTTTTTTAATGGGTTTCATCCTACTATTATTTTTTTCACTTTTTTTTATTTTTAAAGGCTTCTACCCTGGTCTAAATAAATGATTGCTCTCACTCTGCGAAACATCGTGCCACATGGCGTTGCATCGCGAGAGCATCGGTATCGCAGGATCCGACTGATGCATGACCACGACCACTCTGCCAAGAGTGTACGAATAGGAAGAAACCCTGGTCTAGTTGCCTAAAGTAAAGAGGTAATCCCATCATCACACAGCACACCACAGCCTTCATCGATGTTAAGTACAGCTCTTATATTGTCAAACGTGAGTGGGTCCATGTAAATTTTGTATAGGTCCTTCTGTAAAAGGGCATTGTTTTGCTAACAAAGTAATTTTAATGTCATTTTCGTGATATGTGAAGGTGCTAATTTAAAAGAAAATTTGAAAGCCTTTGATTAGGTATAAAATACAATTTAGGCCCATTATTCACTTTAACTAAAACTACACCTCGCAAAAAAATAGTGTCTTCTTAATTATTATGTGTAGGTCATAAGAACCATAATATTATCTATGGTTAAATTTGACATGCCAAATGACTTGAACTTGAAATTACCGATCGTTAGTATCATATATTAAGTGTATAATCTATGGTTAGTATTGTAAACATTAGGAACAAGTTTGATTTTGTTTTTTTTTTAGAATAATGCATAGTATTACTTTTAGATGAAACAGAAAAATGCGCTGTTCTTACAGGAAAAAAATTATATATGGAGTTATAACAATACTAATTTTTATAATATTTTCTCATCCTGGTTTGTATGGTAGAAGTTCATATGAATTCATTGAAAAACACAATATACTCAAATATTTACACGAAGAAGTTAATGTGAACTTAACTAGCAATGCATTTACAAATTGTGATTATCACGATATTATAAATGACGAAACAACTTTATCACCAAACTTAATAGAAGGAGATTTAGTAGAAGGTCATGGCATCAGAGACGGGGGTGAATATATACCACAAGACTGCAGACCAAGATTTAGTACAGCAATCATTGTACCTTATCGGTGAGAAAAGTTTCGTGGATAATTACATAAAATGAATTTTCATATTTCAAATTAATTAATAATTTCGCTTTTAAAGTGACAGGGCAGAACAACTTCGTGGGTTCCTGGTATACATGCACACGTTCTTTCGCCGCCAACGGATACACTATCGAATATTCATAATAGAACAAGTAGATTCCCGTCCATTCAACAGAGCAAAGCTGTTGAATATTGGAGCTGTGGCAGCAATTAATGCAGGGTTCCCTTGCATTGTTCTTCATGATGTTGACTTATTACCACTGAGACCATCCAATCTATATGCGTGTACAAAACAACCAAGGCACATGTCCTCTAGCATCAACAAATTTAGGTTTACTTATGTTTACTAATTATTTGCCTAATATATCTTTGAATATCTAGTTTCCAGTAGTTAATTGCTTCCTATAGACAATTCATTATATTTTCGCTATACAGTACAACAAACTATAAGCACTTCGACATTTATTGCAGATTTGTGCTTCCATATTTGACTCTTTTTGGTGGGGTGATATCGATAAGAACTAGTCAATACAAAATGGTAAACGGAATGAGTAACGAGTACTTTGGTTGGGGTGCTGAGGATGATGATTTATACAGCCGCCTTCGAGCTTGTAATTTTAAAATTTGCAGGTTTGGACCTGAGATTAGTCAGTACCATATGTTTAGCCACAAGTTACAAAGGAAAGGGTAAGTTCCACATACATAACTAAATTTAGATTATATGAGTCGACTAGTATGAAAGCCGGCAATGTGACTTTTGGACAATTACTGGTAAATCAGAAAAACGAATTATTGACTTTGTATTTCATTGGCAGTCACAAAACTCTTCGGAACGACATCTTAGATAAATAACAGGTTAAGTATTAACCTTTATTTAATGCAGGTTTTGAACAGTATTCTTTGAAGGAGACAATTATATTCAAATCAATCTGTATTGACATATCAATAACATTTTTTTGTCCAAATGCACAGATTGCCACCTTTGATAATAGACGACTCATATATCTGATCTTAAATCAATGTCTAAAAATGAAAAAAAAAAATTATAGAATGTTTACTATAAGAAACTTCAAACAATGTAGTACTGCTTTTAACAGCATGTCTACTGTTCATTGTATGTAATGATAAAAAAAATTACAGAAAATTAAGAAGTGATCTGTTAAGTTTTGCAAGAAAAAGGATGGCAGCAGATGGATTAAGTTCTTTACACTATTTAGAAGTGGCCACAGTATTGCATCCATTATTTACACATATCATGGTTGATTTGTAATATATATCAAAAATTCATATCACAATATGTCTAGCTTTATGAAACTATTGTACCTGGATATAGTGACTTATGATTATTTTAAGGTAATTTTATTTAGAATAATGCATGCATACATTGCATGTTTACTTAAAGAAACTTGAATTATTTAATATGTTGTGTTTAGTAAGTTTCTGATATTAAAATAATTGTTTGAAGCTGTTGGAATATTAGTAAATATTGAATTAGTGAAATTTTAGACTGTGTTAAACGGCACATGATAATGTAATTGATTCTTCAAGGACATGCTCAACAAAAACTCTTGAGGTATATTAGGACTATAAAGTTTAATTTAAATTAGATAGAAGAAAAGTTCAAACATAATCAACTAGTACATTAAGCACCTATCATAATATTGGTTATATAGATCTAAGTATTGTTGATACAAAAATTATCTATGGTTGTGTTCACAGCACAATATTCATATTTCAATATTTCAGTAGATGTTATGACAATAACAAAAAATATCATACTGTACTTTATGTGTTGTATTTTTAATGAATTAAAATATTACTATTTATTCTGTGCATATGAGAAGTTGTCTTTGTCAAATTTTCAAAATTAATTTTAGAACCATTTTGAACAAAATACTTCAATACCTAATGTCAATTTGAAACTATTTGAAAGCTTTACGAAATAACTTTAGACAATAAATTACTATTAGAGTACATTTGAGTAATTAATTACGTGTACATTATATAATTCATTCACTAAAATTAATAATGTAATAAAAAAACTAAATAATAATTAGATTATTATTTAAGATGTAATTTTTATCACTAAATAAAATTATTTTAAAGAGCACTGCTGTGAAACAAACTTTAAAATAATTTAGACATATCATAGTGGGTCAGAAGGTATTATTCTCATATTTATTTTATTTATTTACTCATAAAAAAATTGGAATGACAAATATGTTTAGTCACATAAAACTGTTTTCAGTTTTTCTATATATTCTAATTTTGTCACTAAGAATTGAACAGTGCAATAAAGGTAAATGTTAACCAAATAATAAACTGATTTTTTGTTTTACAAATTTATTTGGCATCAATGTTTGCACAGCTAATGGTCCCAAATCACAGAAATATATTAAACTTAGTTAAACTAAAATTTGTGCTGCAAACTACACAGTGTAGTAATGGTTTGACTTGATGAAATGCATAGGATTTTTTCATTAAATGCAAAAAATATATAATGCATATAAGATTTAGTAGCTGCAATATATCTTTGATTTATTGTTATTAAAATATCCACACCGTTGAATTCAATTACACTTCTAGCACCATTTTTATTTAAATATTGCACCACAACCAAATTATTAATGAAGCAGCACTCAATCATCAAAGGATAAAATAGTAAAAATTAACTTAAAACTAACATAGTTTAAGTTATAAAATATTTACAAACCAATTGTCTAATTAAATCCATTTACCCTGTAATTTTATTACATTTATAAACATGTTTATTTTGCTTGAAAATATACCATTATGATATTAAGAAGGAAAACAAAGTTAATATAAATCAGATACGAATAATTAAAAATAATAATATTTTAGGTTACAAAAAGGTAGATGAAAGAAACTATGAAAGAACATTATGTGAAAAGGATAATCAAAGAATATCTTATTTCTGTCATGTACGTTACATAATTAATAATATGCCATTTATGCCATGAAAGTATAACTATACATGTGCTTTAAGGTACATTGTGTACTAAAACTAATTGTAGTCCATTATTATGTATAAAATATGACATAGTGTAATTTACGAAACTAATTTTGACTCAAAGTTTACCTTTCAATAAATTCATTTAAATTATATGAATGGAGTCTGTCACTATCACCAAAAAGTTTATAACTATTCAATATTCAAGTCTATTTCTGTATAACCCATATTTTTAAGGCTGTACATATTATAATTTGAATCTATGGTCTCAAAACAAGCATGCTCACAAGGCCGAGCACAAATGAGAAGACTAGCTTAAGATTGGCACCAATATGAAGCCAGTCAGGCCACTGTGACTTTACCGCTTGTTCTGGTTGTGTTGGTAATAGCAATGCAGCTATACAACATATACTCACTGCCACTGCTACCATGTTTGTTGGTTGATGCTCCCTGAAATAAAATTATTACAGAAAAGTTTCTTTTGTTGTTTAAAATTTTGTTTACAACTTGTGATGCTTTTTTTAAATGTTAAAAACCTAACAATTTAATATGGTCAAAAAACTTGTTTACCTGTGGTGTCCTGTATGATTACATGAGATTTTTGTATGATCCTCAGTAGGTCTAATTGGTGCAGCTCTGGATGCTATTGGATGAAAGTTTTCACCAAAGCTTTCTTGGTTTGTACTTGATGGTTCACCTTCAATAAGTTTGGTTGGAATGTCTCTTTTTCCCAGAGCCTGAACAGAGTATGTAAAATACCTATTTATTTGTTGGAAAATGGTTATAAGTTAATTGTATATTCAATTTAGAAATAATAGTATCAACTGATATGGTTTCTATAGTCTAGTTATGTCCTTGTATTAAATTTCAAATTTTATAATAAGTTATGGTTAATTGATATAGCCAAAATTCCAACCCAACAATATGAAATAATATAATCTCCAACTAAAGTAAAAATTTAAGTGAACTTCCCTGGTTTTTATAACTGATATATTGGATGCTTAAATGTGCAGTTTGTAAATTTATAAATGTCTTTCAATTGTGGTACTGAATGGTGAAGGAAACTTATATGTCATGCAGATTGCAAAAATGTTACGTGTCTGTCCTTGAAATCAAAATTTGAATTCCCCAGTAACCTAGTTTAATAAGCTATGCAACAGCCTACCAAAACAAATTATCACAGAAAAGTCAAAAGTACAGGCTATAAAAGAGAAGGCTCAATCAGCTGAAGACCAAATATTTGTTGCTGGTCAATACACAAGCTCCAACTTACTGTTCAAATGTATGTACAACCAATTATTAATTTCTACTGTAAAATTTGATGTGATATGTTATAAACAATAAAACAGCCATACGTAAATTAGTTATTGAGACTTTAATTTTGTATTTCCTTTGTATTATACTACCTACTGGTAGTAGAATCCTTATTCTATGATTTTTATACCGCCCAAAGGGCTGTTTATGTATTTATATTAATAAAAAATACTTTAGATTAAATAACGTTAATATTGGGATGAATGATTTTGTTACTAATTACCTGCTGAGTATTTCTGTCAAACATAGTTATTCTGAATTTTTCTATTGTGTCGCAATGTGAAACAGATGGTTGTGTGTAACGTACGACAATATCAATACAGCTTTGTGGAGCGATCACACCCTCTGGGTCGATGACTGTAAACTTGTTTGGTGACGTACATAATACTGAAATTAAAAAGAACCACGTTACGATAAAAAGCTATTCAAAGAATCCGCACAAAAAATATACGAATTTCTTACCTTTGAAATTTACAGAGAAATCATAAGGATTGTAAACAGTTAACAACTGTTTATGAGTGTGTCTAGCGTTAAGGTAAAATTCTAAGGAAACAGGAAATACAAACACTGGAAAATTTTTCATATTTCATAGAAAGTTTACTATTTTCTCAGGAAAACAATAAGCCAATATGTAATAAGTACGTAATATCAACAATAACAAATTTCGTCGACTCGTAAAATTGAACCGATTTTGACAGTTACGTTTACGTATTTGACGTTTGTCATTTTAGTTGTTTGATTCGTCCATTGGGTAAGCAAAGGCAATTTATAGCCCAAAAAATTTTTTTTTTAACAAAAGCCTTTTGTACGAAATGGGGAATGGAATGGAATTTAATGAGGTTAGTTAGTACAAAACTGTAGGTGCTATATGAAATGAAATCATGGAAACTTTCAAGCTCAATGAACTCAATCGTGTTTTTAGATCTCGAGGTCCGACCTGTTCATATTTCCTCACTAGAGCAGCATAGGTGGTAAATAATCAATAAGCCACCAATTGCTCGTGTGAACCAGAAGTAATATGAAATTAACAAAAAATAAAAATATAAAGAGGCTTAACCGTCAAAAAGCACTTGGTTATTTTAGATAGTAGTATTGGTTACATTTATGCTGTGCACGAAAACCAAAAGTTAAACAGGTTGTATAATTAAGTAAACTTGTTACATAGTTTAAGTATGTAGTAGTGGTAAGTAAAATTAAACTTTACAACAATCGTCCGTAACCACGAAAACTGTTCGAACATTAAGATGAAAATAAAAACGCGAGATAAGATCATAGTTTTAATTATTTCCACGACTGGTGAAAACCGAAGAAAATATTAAATCTGTTACCAACGAACGAGATTGGTAGTGCTTTCGCCAAAATACGTATCACTTTGATCCTCTGTGAAAAGCATAGCTGTTCTTTCAAAGCGAAAGATCTCCTTTTACAGACGCAGGAACATATGAAGCCTTCACTCTGATTACTTTTTTTGGCCAATTTTCGTTTAGGGTAGGAAGGTCGAGTATCAGGGAGTCATCCTAGGTATCTCCATAGTCTTCCGAGCTCACTCTGTATGAGACCGCCATAGCACCACATTCCTCCTCGCCAGACTACCCAGTAATCTACAAGTGCAGTAAATTGTCCTTTCTAAAGTGACATTTTGCAAAACTTACCTCAGGTTGAGCCTGTGAGCTCACCTACCGGTCTGTGAGTAGTCGGAATAGCCTCTTATACTATCAGCGATTGGGAAAAAACTTGCATTCCCCCTGAATATAACGCGATCTGTGCTGATTGATTCAAGTGATCCACTTTTACTTTCAGAAATGAAATATGGACTAACAAAAAAAAACAAATTTACAAAGTATGTAATTGTTTATTTTATAAATATATTTGTTTCAGAACATTTTTTAGATTAGCTGAATAACTTAGATAGGATAATGGAGTAGCTCGATATAAGGTTAATGTAAGTTATGGTACAGAAAGTAGTAATGTAGGTTATGGTACAGAAATTCAACTTGACTGGTGCCTATTAAAACGTATCTGGCATATTATATACAGGCTATTATACACAACTACACTCGCGTTTGAAGACAAATGTACCGTTAGGGAACAATACATTTTCTGGATAACAAATATTCTTTTATCGGGGGTAGGGAGTACGTACAAAATGTCATTACGATCGGTTGAGTAGTTAAAGACTTGAAAGTGACTCGAATGAAACCTCAATTTTTAACATCAGTTAATTTACACGTTTCAATCTACCAATCACAAAACGCTTCTAACACAGAAGAGTTTGCTGTAACTGATTTTCAAATTTTTATTTAATTATGAATAATGAGATTTTACTTCTGAATGATTCAAATTTTTATCTTACAAAGATAATATTGGTAAAGTAAGGTTTTTATAGAGTACAGTGGGTAGGTACAAATAATAATCATAATTGAGTTGGATAATGTATTCGAAACGAAAATTTCACTCGTAGGCATTTACCGTTTTGAAATATATCTTTAATACAGTATAAATAATTTACATTTTATTAGGAACTGGAAACTAAGACTAAATATAAAACGGTACAGCCTCGGTTTTTCAAAAACACCTAAGTTGGTGTCACTAGACATCCACTTTTTTTAAACATGGTGTTTTCAAACCGAGTTCTCGAACGAGATTGCACAATTTTAATAAATAAAAAATATATGTATAATTTAACGTAAATTCTATTGAGCTACTTAAAGTTCATAAAACACAATAAATAAGATTAGGATGAGTTTTGATTGACGCATTATTAGGATGATATAATTTTATTTAAAAAAAAAGATTCTAAGAATTTATGGCCAGCATATCAAAATATCAATATGAAGAACAAACAGTACATTTCACTTTACATAAATAGAATTTTACTAAACAATGAGAAACCAGCCTACAAACATAGTTCACCTTGGTCAGTACTGTAGCAGCCCTCAAACAAAAAACAAACTAGAATCTTATTGTCTTCGAAGGCAACTAACAGGGAATTGCAACTAAAGCATGTTGGATAGCTTTACATTGCATCAGTAAAAAAATCGAGAAACGAGAAAGAACTCTTTGAATAAATAACATTTTTAGCATGGTGATTATAAACGAAATTTCTTTTGGGCATCAGAGGCTATAATCCCTTTAGTACCTTAGGGCATTAAATTCATAAGTAATCGACGACCAGTAAAAATTAAAAACACAAGTGCTCTTCTCGTGGTCTATGACTTCGTACGTCTTAGATTCGATAGAGTCGAACCATGGTACAACTAATTGGGAGTTCACGGAATGTTTATGTCATGGTATCATCAACGTGGAACAGCTGACGTGACTAGTGGCTCTACACAAATGACTTTGTTGTTCATCATGAAAAGTGATCGGTCAACCCAGTATCGACAGTGTGTAAACTACATAATCATTTATTAGTCTTTCATCATTCTTGGAACTCGGTAGAAGCATTACTTTGTACTGTTTCTTGTTGTAAATTGAGCATGATTGACATATTAGGTTTAATCAAAGTTTAATGGGTATATTTATTTATTTATTTATTTATTTATTTATTTAATAAGTTGCACCAACAAAGTGATCATCAATACAAAACATTGACAAATTGACAAAAGTTCATGGCAGATGTCACCTCAATTATAGGTGCAATCGACATTATTTTATATTCCCACATGCACTGGCATCATCTACAGAGGGCAATATGTAAGGTCTAATTATATATTGTATACGTCATTGATTACAAGACTGAAGATAACGTATGACCGTGAAGTAGAGACTGGCAGCTCAATGTTTTCGACTTGTCATTTTATCATATTGAGCTATACGATTACAAATAAAAATTTACATTTTCGCAATTATGCTCAAAGGCTTTAGAATACAATCACTTTGCTTGCTTCGGCGTACGCCTATTGATATGGATAGAGCATAGCCACAGCGGGATCTTCTGTTTCAAAGGTGATGAGTACATCTTTGAATTTGTCTAGAAGCTGCATTAGCTGTGAACGACTGACGTTCTCCATAAACATGATCTCTTCTAAATGCTGCTCGCCGCGGAAATAGCCTGAAAACAAAATATTATACTAATAAATATAAAAATATAACAAAATATTAAACAGCTGATGCAATGAGCACTATTACATTCCAATTGAAGGTAGATAAAGCCCGTTTATGTTTTTTTTTTTAATTGTGCATCCTATATTTTGTATTCTAATGTATTATATTTTATTATAACTATACAAAATAAATCATAATGTGATATTGTTTACTTTTGATTATTTGCGTAATTACAGATTGTACGAGGTACTGCCCACATAGGTCAGTACTCACACTATACTTGTTTCAGTAGCGAAGCAGTAATGCGTTTCGGTTTGAAGGGTGAGACAACTGACAATCTACATGTGCTCGGCGCGAGTTCTTTAATTATATGTAATAAATAATACTGATTCGACTGTTAGAGTTGTTTTACATTATCTGTATCGCACGTCGGTTGTTTTATGCCAGGAACTTTCATCAAACAGGTTTCATCACCTAGCTCTACCCTTGACATTGTTGACGTCCATGGGCGACGATAACCACTCACCGTCAGGTGGGCCGTATGTTTGCTTAAATGGGCAGAAAAAAAAATGAATAAGCGACAAGTGCATATTAGCGTATTATTTTTTTGTTATTATTTAGATGGGTGGACGGGCTCACAGCCCACCTGGTGTTAAGTGGTTACTGGAGCCCATAGACATCTTTAACGTAAATGCGCCACCCACCTTGAGATATGAGTTCTAAGTGCTCAGTATAGTTACAACGGCTGCCCCGTCCCTCAAACCGAAACGCATTACTGCTTCACGACAGAAATAGGCAGAGCGGTAGTACCTACCCGCGCGGACTCACCAGATGTCCTACCACCAGTAAATAAAACATATAACGTTAAGCGTCAGTAAGGTTTCTGAAATGTTATGATAACCTTTCTTATGTAGCTGGGCTAGCAGCAGTAAGTCGTCAGTGTTGTTCGAGGCGGGAATGTGGGACAATACGGTTCGCTCCTCTGCCGTGAACGTGTGCAGTAGGGACTCGGTGGACTCCGGCTCGGCGGGCGCTCGGCACGCGTCGGTGACGTCACAGCTGGCCGACCCGCCCCACACCGTCGGCGGCTGGAAACTGGGAAACATCGCTTTTATTTCTATACTGAGCCGGTACGGGAAGCTCACAGTTCATCTAGTGTTAAGTGGTTACCGTGACGCATAAAGATCAAGAAAGTAAATACCGTCACTTGAGACATAAGTTTTAAGTCTCAGTTCTATAGTACAACTCCGTTCCACCCGTCAGGCGGGCTTACAAGACGTTCTACAACCAGCAACAGAGAATCTACACAAAACCATAAGATTGTTTGGCATGTAAGCCTCTTACGTTGCGCTCAAGGGCCTTGTTAACCATTCAATGAAGTCGTCGTGGCCTAACGGATAAGACGTTCGGTGCATTCGTGTTGAGCGATGCACCGGTGTTCGAATCTCAGGCGGGTACTAATTTTTGTAATGAAACACGTACTCAACAAAAGTTCACAGTTGACTTCCACGGTTAAGGAATAACATCGTGTAATAAAAATGAAACCCGCAAAATTATAATGTGCGTAATTATAGGTGGTAGGACCTCTTGTGAGTCCGCGCGGGTGGGTACCTTTACCCCGCCTATTTCTGCCGTGAAATAGTAATGCGTTTCGATTTGAAGGGTGGAGCAGACGTTGTAATTATACTTGAGACCTTAGAACTTATATCTCAAGGTGGGTGGCGCATTTACGTTGTGGATGTCTATGGGCTCCAGTAACCACTTCACACCAGGTGGGCTGTGAGGTCGTCCACCCATTAAGCAATAAAAAAAAAAAGATAGCTTACCTCATTTCGCTTTGCAGTTTCAAATTTAAAGAAACCCCGTTCTTCTTTTCCGATCCGTTCGTCAAGCCGTTCGTTTTGGTGCGCGGCGAGACGTCCTGGTCGCTCTCGAACCGGTCCTCGTCGCTGCTCGTGTTGTTGGCGGCGTTGTCGTTGTCCTTGAGCGACAAATCCGACAGCCTCGAAGGTAGGCCTTTCGATTTATCATCCGAAGTGACGGTTTCGCCATTGGAGAGTTCAGCGTGACTAGCGTCGTTGCCGTTCGCCTCTATACTATTACCGGCCGTGCCGTTTATGTTGTTAGAGATGCCGCTGTCCACAGAGTTGCCGTGTTTCTTTTGTTTTTCAATTTGATTATCGTAATCGCAACCGTTCGTCTTGATTCCGTCGACAACGTCGATGCCGTCGTCGAACGAATGATTCGCCGAATCATTTTCGTGAAATTTCTCGTGTTTCTTTCGATCCGAATCGATTATTATTGGTCTGGTGTGAGAGAAATCCGTTTGATTGAGATTGTTTTCGGTGGGGTAGTCTTCGTCCGAATCGGGGAATATCGTGTTGTCCCTGGGCTCGACGGGCTCAGGTACGTTGAGTTGCATTTGGTTCAGCGAGGAGAACGACACGCTGCACGATCTGTTGTATATGTCGTGCTTTTCGCAGTAATACTCTTTACCGTCTGAAAAGAAAAATTGTTAAGTTTTAAATTTATTATATGTATTTTTTTTTAAAACATCAATAAAAATGTATGTATGTGTTTTTGTAAATGATTGTTTATTGTTACATCATATAAAAATATTGTATTTTATAAATCCTATGATAACTATCTTAACTATCTCATTTAGAAATTAAGAAAAAAGAAAGTTTAAGTGTACCTCAGCCTAAATAGCTGACTTAACATTCTACAAGGCTGTTCATTCAAAAGTCATAATATTTTAATGAAATTATATTATATGTTTAAACATAGCTTATAATTTGATTTAGAAATATATTCACTCTTGTTACTATGGCAGATGCGACATCTAACCTATAAGGCAAGGACCTATTTCAATGATAATCAATAGGTTTATTTTTTATTTAATATGCAATCACTATTCTTCAATATTTAGGTTTTGTACTTTACTAAATAAAATTTAAATCAAATTTTTTTCACTTCAACTCTTTTTCACTACCAAATGCATAAACTCATAAGTAGCTAATCGTTGTGTATCTATCTATGGCTACCTAAATGACGTCACACCTAATAAAGATGCTTTCAGTCCGGTCCCCACAAATGTTTCTGGCAAAGTTTATTTTTTTATTGCTTTGATAGGTGTACGAGCTCACAGCCCACCTCGTGTTAAGTGGTTACTGGAGCCCATAGACATTTACAACGTAAATGCGCCACCCACCTTGAGATATAAGTTCTAAGGTCTCAGTATAGTTACAACGGCTACCTTCTCTCAAACCGAAACGAATTACTGCTTCACGGCAGAAATAGGCGAGGTGGTGGCACCTACCCGCGCGGACTCAAAAGAGGTCCCACCACCAGGAACTTAGTTTAACGTTCAATTAAAGTTTAAATGTCGATTGTCGGCTACAAGGTTCAATTTAAGTCATATAAACATTGTTGACCTGCATCACGTCCCCAATGCGGCGAATTGAACTGCACGTACGTATGGAGCTGCAGCAAGAGTCTGCGTTGCAACAGCCACGCCACGCAGCGGGCCAGCCGCGCCGAGCCCCCGCACCCGCCGCCCGCGCTCCGCGATATGTACCACAGCGGAGCCGGCAGAGAGAACTCACTTAGCATCTGCAAATACAGAAATAAGACTAAACTTCTATACTGGTGGTAGGACCTCTTGAAAGTCCGCACGTGTAGGTACCACCACCCCTCCTATTTCTGCCGTGAAGCAGTAATGCGTTTCGGTTTGAAGGGTGCGGCAGCCGTTGTAACTATACTCGAGACTTTAGAACTTATATCTCAAGGTGGGTGGCGTATTTGCGTTGTAGATGTTTATGGACTCCAGTAACCACTTAACACCAGGTGGCCTGTGAACTCGTCCTCTCATCTAAGCAATAAAAAAATAAAAAAATAAAAATGTAATAATAATAAAAATTCTTTTTACGAAAATTCCGCGGACGGTGGAATTTGAAATTTCTCATACTTATAGAGAATATAGAGAAGGAGTGCAGAATGTTAGTATTTTTTTTTAATTATGCATAATAAATATATTAAACCTATTAAAAAAATATTACACACACTACCATGTATTTGACACACACACGCATGCATACTATTTGTTTATTGTCAAACTTTTCTTATTGCTTATAGTTTGTGGTCAAATCGAGAATAGATTAAATATTGTTTCGCTTTATTAATATTTGTATAAAGTGTAATCTTAGCGAAATCTGTGATTATAAAAGTATATTAGTTTTTGACTTTATATGATTATAGTCGTAATAGTGCACAAAATTATAATTTCAATTAATTATAGTCGAATTTCGACTACCAAGGGACCACTAGTTTATTATAATAACGGGGAACAAATCACGCATCGTCATCCAATTTAGGATTCCCTGCTTTATAGGTACCAGAGACTGATAAACATACTTGTATATGTTTAAATATATACAGTTTTAAATAATAATTACCCAGACAAAGAGCCAACAAACTTGTTCATCACACAATCGGAATCGAATCCACGACCCTCAGCGCAACAGTCAGGACCACTAACCACTGCACCACCGAGTCAGTCAGTTATTAACTTTTTTTCGTTTTGGTAGCAATTGTCGAGGTTTATTGACATTACTATTTTTTTGGGATTTCTGTTTTTAAGATGCCATTTACAAATTAAAATTAATCGAAAATATGGTCTGTGATTATCGTAAAATTTCATCATCATAAGGTGAGCGAGCATATGTAAGTTTCTATTAAACATTTTTTTTGTGATACGTTAATTAATTCCTTTATAAATAATAGTGCGTAAAGAAAATAATGAATGTCTCATACTTGTAATAAACACAACCCAGGAAACTCCTTGGCGAATTCATCGACAAGAGGTGAATGTATGTGAATATTCGCGCCGGGAGCCACAACGTATACATTCCCTTCGCACAATGGATAGATCACCGTCGCTTTAGCCCAATACACTAAATGTCCAGTTAGTTGAGAGACCTAAAATAATTAGAAAAACAATTTTAAACAATTAAACCTGAAACGAAATATTATTGTCGCTCATAGAGCTAGCTTAACTTGGTTTACTTTTTTATTTAAAGATTGGTATTCATTGTCCCTTTAAATACTACAAAAATATTATTTTAGGGTACGGAACAGTTTAAAAAATTTAATATGCAAGTGATAGAGATTGAAGTGAAGGGTTCTAAAAGGTAATTAATTTTGGTTTTTTATTTTTGTACAGGTATGAAGGGCATCAATTTTACGACCCACTTGATACTGAGTAGTCGTCACTGTCGCTCATGGACATCAGCAACGGTACAGACACCACCAAGCCATTGCCGACCAGCCAGGATTATATTTAAGCCTTGAAGAAGGCCGTATCATATCACTATGTGATTATCATTTTTTACCAATCACTTTGCTTTTAAGTACTCAAAACACGAACCGCTAATTGTGCTTATGCGTTCTGTTATATCAATTATAATTATTTTACTCCGAGAGTATTCATTGACACATACAAATGACATGTACCCAATATGTATGTTAATTACTAGATAAGACTAGTTTAGTTAGAGTAAATAGTCACAGAACCCTGTTATATGTATACATTATTGATTTGATCATTGATTATAAAATAATGAGAAATTTAGCTCATATTGAATTTCTTAAACCGACTTGCTTTTTAATCTAAAAGAACCTTAAAAACAATAAAATGTTTACTTATTTATGGATTTATACTGTTTATACCTGTTTGAATGTCAGATCCGCTTCTATGGCCAGTGTTTGAAGACTTTTTAGAGGGCTATATAGTTTAATAAGTCGCAGTAATGCAGAGCTGCCATCCAGTGGTATCGACGCCAACAAATCATTTGGATTCACCTTGAAGTAAATTAACAACGTAAATTTTGTTCACGATTGACTTCCACGGTGAAGGAATAACATCGTGTAATAAAAATCAAACCCGCAAAATTATAATTTGCGTAATTACTGGTGGTAGGACCTCTTGTGAGTCCGCACGGGTGATACCACCGCCCTGCCTATTTCTGTCGTGAAGCAGTAATGCGTTTCGGTTTGAAGGGTGGGGCAGCCGTTGTAACTCTACTGAGACCTTAGAACTTATATCTCAAGGTGTGTGACGCATTTACGTTGTAGATGTCTATGGGTTCCAGTAACCACTTAACACCAGGTGGGCTGTGAGCTCGTCCATACATCTAGGCAATAAAAAAAAAGGGATACAGTTCTTATATTAGAAACGTCAAAATATGTAGTAACGGAAAACATTATTGAGAAGAGTATTAAGTGGTAGGCAGCGGCTTGGTTTCTGCCCATGGCATTACTAAATTCCATGGGCGACGGTAACCACTCACCATCAGGTGGTCCGTATGCCCGTCTGCCTACAAGAGCAATAAAATAAATAAAAAACTTGTCTTCTACTATTTTGATGATATTCTCAAGTCACTTTTCTTTTATGTTTAAAATTTTCAATATTCATAAACACTAAAAAAGTTTTATGTATATTTGATTACTTACAAGTAGTAGCATGCCGTGGTATGGCCTCAGTTTTTGCAAACATTTGTCTATTGTTTCCGGTTCTATTATTAATCCTCTGTTGTGAATTTGATGGGCTTTGTGCGGCAAACAGAAGGATAGAAGTACCCATTTATTTACACGTACTTGAACTATGCCTGAAAATTAAAGCAAAAGCTAATTTTACATCTAAATTGTTTTTGTATTTAAACCAAGTTATCAGAATCACTTGTTACTAATTAGGTATGATGTTGTCGTGACTTAAATGGAAAGGGCGTCTGGTGTACTTATATAGTGCGACTTGACCATTATGGTGTGCAAATTACACAGACAGATATTAATCGTTGCAATAGGCACATAACATGTTCTGATGAGTCTGTGCGGTTACCAGCACCCTGCTTTTATTTGCTGCAAAGCCATAATTAATTTCGGTTCGAAGAGAAGACCAGCTGTTATACTATACATATAGTCGAGACATGTCTCATATCATAAAAGCGAGGGTATTTCAAGGGCAGCATTCGGACTGTGAAGTTTTTCAATTCCAGTAACCACTTAATACTATGTAGACCTAGTACAAAAGTTTATTGTACTAGGCCCACCAGTAAAATTTAGTCTAGATATGTTATATTTTAAGAAAAGTATTTAACCTGTGCTACTTAGTTCCTCAAAGACAGACTTCATGGACCTAGCTAAGGAACTCCTTTGTAATATTAAGTGGTAGGCAGACATTGGGCCTCCCTCAAGGCCATTATCTACACTATATGTTGTAGAACTAACAGAATGTCGGAGATTCTCTTCCTCTTCTTCATTATCACCATTAATTTCACTGTCGTTCCTCTCATTCACTTCATCATGAGCAGCTAGCTGTAAAAATATGAAAAATATATATTTTATAGCTTAGGTTGGTGGACGAGCCCACGGTCCACCTGGTGTTAAGAGGTTACCGGAGCTCATAGACATCTACAACGTAAATAAAGCCATATATTGAGTACGAAAGGTCTGATTTTACAGTACAATAGCTGCCCCACCCTTCAAACCGAAATGCATTACTGCTTCACGGCAAAAATAGGCAGGGTGGTGGTACCTACCCGTGCGGACTCACAAGACGTCCTACCACCAGTAATTACGCAAGTTATAATATTTCGGGTTTGATTTTTATTACACAATTTTATTCCTTCACTGTAGTAGTCAATCGTAAAGATTTGTTAAGTACGTATATCATTAGAAAAATTGGTACTTGCCTGCGGTATTCGAAGACCTTCTTATCCTTTAGGCCACGACAACTTCAAAAATGCAACAACGAAACAAAATCTTTTTTGTCTCCACAACGCTGGGTCGGCAAAGAGAATGGTTCTATTCAATTCTCTTCTATCAGGCCTCATCTCAACACTCACTCCGTTCCTCTCTCTCTCTCATATCTTCCATTCACACACTCCATTCATGTCTTCTTCGTTCGACCTCTTCCCCCACACCATTTCCATACATCTCCTAGTCACTTGCATCTCCTCTCTATGCACCAAAACAACAAAACAAAATATTCAAAACACATTTTCCTGTTTTACTTTATACTACTTTTGATTCCTAAAAAGTACATTTATAATTATTTACCATAATTTTCATTTCTTCTGTTAAATATGAACACCTTTTTTCTTCATGTCTCAGTGCTTTACCCAGCCTTTTACTCAAATCATAGTAACATTTTACTGTAATTTAAATTAAACATACAATTAATGTGTTACAGAAATATTTTAAGTGTTTTATGAAATGAAATCTATTATTACTCAAAAAAAGTTGATTCGATCATAAACTGTCTCTATAAGCTAATTTAAAGAGAAGTGTGATGAAATCTACATTCTATTCTGTTTTTATATTAATAATTACTCTGCAAGATTAATAGATGTACATTTTCTGGCAACATTCTGGCCATGCAATTCTTACAATAAGCATATTTAGAAGTCTAGTTACAGTAATATTAAAGTAGAATTAAAATTTAGGGCCAATAGCCAGAATGCTTACTTTCCATAGTTATGACTAACTAATTTCATTCAATTATTTGCATTAAAAAATCTTAAACCGTACTTACCTATAGAATGACTGGCAGAGGCTTGTAAAGCAAAAACTATATTTATGAGAATCATAGCAGCAGTATCATCTTTATTTGCTCTGTAGGGCAGCAATGTTGGATGACCAACAAACCTCACATCATTGACTTTTAATTCAAATTTCTTGTTACATAATTCTGCTTTTACAGCAAACAGTGTTGAAAGCATTTCATCAGTAAAACCACTTAGTTGACCTGTTAAATCATATTTTGCCTGAATGGATTTGAAAGAATAATAAAACCAACCCAATACCTTTTATTGTGATTGCGTCCCTGATAAAGACCATGTTGTTTCAATGGTTAGTAACCCTTGTTGCCATACCACATGGTACACCAGGAGTTGATTCCCAAACAACCTTCTTTAGTGTTCCAATCTAGGTATAATTGATTTTCCAAAAACCATGACTCAGGATAAAAGTTTCGTACACTTTGTTTCTACATTTGCACACTTAGTTTATAATAAATTGAGAGTATGAAATTGTATGACCATATATAATACATCATCCTTATATACTTGTTTAATTCCATTGTTTATATGTAAACTAGCCGTACTCGCCAGTTTCGCTTGGCATTTAAAATTAACATTATTATTTATTGTCTTTATTATTAGGGAGTCCAAGACTCATATAAATATTAGCCTATTCATTAAGTACATCTATTTTCTACATGGATACCAAGTTTCAAGTCAATTGGATGCATGGTTCAGTAGTTATAATAGAAAATCCATAAAAACCACTAGATTTATATTCAAGTATAGCTGATATCTTTATTACCTTTCTATTTCCCTTTTGTTTCCTTTTCGTTAATGTTAATGAATTTTGCAATACATGTTAATTGAAGTCTTCTTATATTCACACAATGTATTACTTAGGGTACTTGTTCTCTTTTTAATAAAAAGTATTGCTAATTGATTGTTGTATAAAAACAGACATACAGTGAATTAACGTGTTACCCACCATGTGACCTTATGTTCATAATAAAATTATAAAACATATTAATTACTAACTATATTGTGGTGTATTTGTACTATTTGCATTTACAGAGTTGTTACTTAAAAGGATATAGTAACAAACATACATTTCTCAATTGAAATCAATACAAAATATGCATTTCGTAATTCTATAAAACAGCAATACTTATCCATTACCTTACCTGTTTCAAGTTAAAATCACAAACAAGGTTATAATCCAAATGAAAACGACAAGAAATCAAAAGCAATGAAAACGCTTACTACTAGTTACACAATCCCATAAGCAAATTAATATGAACAGAGGCAGGTGATGTAGCAAACTCATTAAAATCACATGTTTATTACTCAACAACGTAATAAGTGCAAAGGTGTCAGTATGCAAAACCAATTCAATATTTCACTGATTGTGAGGGACATTATTAGTCATTACACAATGTGGCAAGCAATAGCTAATCTATTTTACAAAATATATTTTGTTATGGGTATATACAATAAAATCATTTTCTGATGTAAAATAATTATTATAGAAAAGTAACTAATGAACAATTATCTATGTACTGTGCATAATAATATACAGCTGTCTTTGGTGCAGTATGACTGCTGGTGTTTAAACAACAAATATCTTCAACATAATTGTAAACATAACAAGTTCTACTTTTATGTTTACATTCAATTGAGGTCATGATAAATTAAGCAAAATTATTGATGTAAAAATGAAAAATGGTTAATTAGAAGAGAGTGAAGAGAAAAAAGCTTGTAACAGTTACAGATATTGATGCTGTAGATGGATATTTTATTCATGTATTTGGAAGGACCTCACCTTTGCAAATATTCGACGTTTGAGATTGTGAATTCTGGAGTAAATCCTCTGTTGAAGTAATTGCGTAAGGGTTGTGCCTGCCACATCTCTTCTGTTTATTCTCACCTTTATGTTCTATCGTATATGGATATCTAAACAAAAGCCTATCGCCCTTGCTGTCAGATTTCACAAAAAATATGTTTAATGGATTAACTTCCATGATTTTAGTATTGCGTCAAACCCAAATACACGTTTTCAATCTGCTTTAAATGATTACTTTATTTCATTGTGCTGTGAATAGTAACAATTAAAAGTGTATGAAATAGTTTCACCGCAGTCATTGTTACTTTTCTTTAGCACACAGCGACAAAGAGTAAAGAATTTCTTAATTAATATTTTGCTATAAATTAATGGTAAATAACACAGTATCGTATATAAACACTAAGTCTAATTTACTAATTTCGGTAAACAGTCTCGAATATATTAAGTGTATAATCTATGGTAAACAGATAAGTACTAGGCATAGACTACAATACTCTTTGTTTTTTAAAGACTTTATGGCCTGTATTAAGACCTTTAAGTTCAAATTCTTATTTCTCTTATTTATACTAAAAATAAAATAAAGCGAAATGGGATAAATTTTATTAATTTCAGATTTTTATCAAATGGGATGAATTTAAATGAAACGAGATGAGATGACTGAGACTTTTGAAAGAGCCTGAGAAGTTACGTTCGAAGGCTTTGTTTAATTTTCCCACATTTGTGCATTTTCTTAGATGATAACAGTTAATAAACTACGATTATTACATATCTAAACCCGAGGAAACACTAAATTTACAAAATAAAACAATTCAACCAACTTCACTCCGCGTGTTCCCACCAAAAAATCCGCAGATACATTACAGTTTTCTGTGGTTAGTGTTGGACGGTTAAATTTGAGGGGATTGGGTTTTGTAGGTTTATGAGGGTCTATTTAAAAACACACTGCTTCATTATAATTATATTGAACACTGTTACACCATTATAAAATTATTATCTTTATAATACTCTTAGATGCTGCTCTGACCGTGTCTAGATGAGAGACTTCACTTACGAGAAGACAATCATCTGTTTTTTTAAATATTTAAAATAATTCCAATATTCGAAATCTGCAATGATGTGTCATGTGTTGCCTGCCATTATATTTTCAAACTCCAACAGTTAGTGAACAGTTCATAAGGCTAAGTTCATATGATCGCGCGGTACCGCGCGTCACCGCGCGGTGGTAGCGTTCACATGACAGAATGTACGCGCGAGAGTCTGGAATCAACATTGATTGAGAATGGACGTGGAGGAAGCAATTTGCTTATTGAAAGACGATACTGGGTGTATCCTATTTTAATTGAAAGACTTTCTTTAAGCCTTTTTGTAACTTTATATCCCGACCTGAGACTACACGAATAAAATTTTTAACTACCTAGTTTAGGATGTCAGTTGCATCTTTAAAATTTTTATATGATTGCGTTGAAAACTATTTAATATCGATAGACACGATATCGTCTTCGCTAGGTACTCATTTTTCTTTGATCTATGCGTCTGTCCGTCTCAAACTGCGCGCGGTGAGCAGTTCCGCGCGGTACCGCGCGGTCATGTGAACTTAGCCTAAAACAGAATATACTAAAAATTAGGCTGTACGGTGTGATGCCTTCGTCTTTCCGTTTGGAAAAATGAAACTGCGCTGTCAAAGCAGAGATTGTGGTTTATTTTGGTCTATGATTTTAATGCGTACAGCAGTCTGTCAGAAAAACATAAGATGGCTAGTAAAATCGATAGTAATTTAAAAGTTAATCCAGAAAAAGTATTGCTAGAGACAGATCAAGGCATTGTCGACAGTGAAGAAAGGAAGTGGGGAATGCCCCTAAAAGAAGTATATAAACATGGAGTCTTTTTCTATAAAGGTAATGGGCATACAACTTACCGCTACACACATTTATCAAAACAATGATTCTGATATGATGTTCTTAGAAATTAGAGAAGGAAAACAAAGGTATGGATAGATAACCTAATATAAAAATGTCAAGAAGCTAAAATTAAATTTTATTCTTTTAGAAAAGGAAGGAAAAGCAATACATCTTAGCTATGAAGACAGGCTGAAACTGGTCGCCTATACACAACAAACCGCGCACGGTCCATTTGATCCCAATTCTGTACCACCTCTGGGTGTCTTGGATGTGATAGGGAGAGATAGGCATGCAGCTTGGCAAGCATTAGGTCAAATGTCTCAAATACAGGCTATGGCTGGCTTTGTCCATGCTTTAGACAGGTGAGAATTAATAAAATATGTTTTATATTCCTAATATTGTTGGACAAGCTCGTAGCACATTCTTTGTTAAGTTATTGTACTCTATAGACATCAAAATGTAAATGTCACTCACATTGAAAATGTGCCCTGCCATCAGTAATTATGCAAATCATGCCTTTTAGCTAGACTAATTACATGATATCTATCTTTTATTGTGAGGGTTATTTCTGAACCTGTAGACAATTTAATACGTCAATTAATTAATAGTGCCTGAAGGATTTACATTCTGCCATGCCCAAATACACACTAGATGTGTCGAGCCACAAGAACTTTAAATTGCATTTAATACTTAATCGTTAAAGTAACAGTTTCCAAAATTAAAAAGTGTGTATTGATTTAAACCACTTAACACCAGGTGAGCTGAGAACTCATCCACCTGTCTAAGCAATAAAAAAATAAAAATAAAAACAATAAATTAGCAGGAGGATGATTGTGTACACTGATAACCTGGAGAAAATTAGTTTCATTCATAACCTATCTGTGAATAATCAAAAATAATATAGCTCACACAATATATTTAACCCATATTTCTAACAGTGTATTTTTCTTATCTGTAAAATGAGTTAAAGTATCAGCAATGTATGTCAGTATCAGCTGTTTTATCACTTATTTACTAAACTATCTTTGTGAATTCTATGTAGCCATATAACAAAAAAATCATACAGTCAAAGATAAAATATACAATGATGTGTACTCTTACAGGTTTAATACCTTTAACTTAATAAAACAGATAGATTCCTAGTTTTGCTTAGAATATTTTTGTTGTTATTTGGATTGACTGTAAATTTAAATTAACATATATCTACTCTATTAGTTAAGTCTATTATATCTAAAAATTACAGTTGAATTTATATAAATTGTGTTAGACAAGAGCTTGTCCAATAGAGCTTTGAAATCAGTTCAGTGTCCTACCAGAGTTTTAGATAATGAGAATATTTATTCTGTTCATTATTATTTATTCTATTTATTCATTTATTTTACTCATATATTTTATGTCGGCCTAAAATGTGAATCATTTGTAAACTTACTAGTCGTAAATTGAGAATGATGTTTTATTATCAACAGACTTTGTCCATTGTTCAAGCCATATTTGGAAGCTATACAGAAGGACAAGGAACAAAAGATGCAACAAGAGTAAGTTTAAAAAGTTAACCATTTTTTACTACATTTGATGTCTTTGTTTCTTCTTGGTTTTTGGGGCACATTACAAAATCTTCCCTTCAAAAATAGAGTTTGTTTTAAAAAACTGACATTGACTACGTAAGTTTTTGTTTTTAAATTAAACTTTTTCTTCCATAGACTGTCGAAAGAGCCCACAACCTCACCTTTTTATTCTTTATATGGGTGCACAAGCTTAGGGCCCACATGGTGTGTACAGGTTACCGGAGGCCATAGGCATAAATGTCACCACTCACCTTGAGACATGAGGTCCAAACCACAATTGCTTATTATAATCCAATTTACGTACAACAAAAAGCCTACCTACTGTTTCATTGCCTGTTTGTTTGAAGCTGGTAGATTGGAACTGATTGGACTTCAAGTAAATGCTGTATAGAGATATGAGATCAATAACAGAATTACATTGAAGACTTACCTAACAACGAAATTTAAACTTAATTGACCAAATTCTGTGCCTATCTATATGGCTAAAAAAAAAAGCTCGCTTTAAAGCTAAAAGAAATTTCCAGATCCTATTTTATGTATTTTACACACAATTTGAATTTGTGACTGCAATTTCGTAAATAATATTGCTTGAAAGATAAAACAATATATTTTATAAATATATTTTGGAGGCACATTACAGCCATTGGCCAGTCTACTTGATTTATTAGGTAATAATTTTAAGGTTGAAACGAGAAGAAGAAGAAAGATCTCGAATCGAACTTCAAAATAGAGTCATGCTAGAGAAACAGAAGCAGCAAAGTAATAAAATAACGGAAGAACAACAAGTGTAAGTGGGTTTGATTTAACTCCAAAATCCATAAAAAAAAAAGAAAAAAAAAGCATAAATAAATTTTACAAGTAAACAATTTTCCTTAATTACAGAAAATTTTATAAGTAAGAATCAGCATGCTTAGTATTTTTTACCACCCCCAAAATAGCATAGGAATATGGGCAAATATTTAAGTACAGTTAAAATATAATCAGAAAATTTCACATTGGAATGATTCAACAGATACTTCATTAAATAATGCTGGCAAATTTAGTCATATTAGTTCTAAATGAAAATACACTTTACTGGAAAAAGAATATAGTTATATAAAAATTAAATTAAAATAGAATACTTTAAAAACATGCTTTCTGGTAATTTCAAGTTTTTTTAGGTACAGCAAAGATAGTGCTCGTACTGCAGACAGATAACTCTATATAGCCAGATATACTCTTCTTATTAATTCTTCTGTCAATAAGATCTATATTTCATTTAAATTTCATATTACTTTTTCATTTTAGGCAAAGGATAAAGGATGCCTTAAACGCTCAAACGTATGATCAGTTCCTACAATATGCCCAACAACAGTTTCCTGGTAATTTCGACCAGCAAGCCATATTGATTAGGCAACTACAAGATCAACACTATCAACAATATATAAAGCAGCTAGCTGTAGATCAGAGATTAGCAAATTCTACCATACTCAACGAAAGCGGTGACACAGAGAGTGAAAATGTTAAAAAAGAGGAAATGGTGAAAGACTGCAACTTAAACGAAACTGATATTGTCGCTGTTGTGGACAACAAGTAAGTACCACTGATTCCATACATACTATATATTATTCTTCTTCTTAGTCGCATACTCCATTGCTGAAGGTTGTGTCCCTGAAAGCCCTTCGTGGCTCTTCATACTATCAGCTTCCATTTCCTTCGGTCCTTGTCTTCTCTCAGGTGGCCGGCCGGCGTGTCTTTTCCCTTCTACCTTGCCCACCACAGTCAATTTTTCAAGGTTGTCTGGTGGCCGCCGATATATTATTATACACTATTATTGTATTTTCACTAGTTACAGACTTGATTAAAATAGTTTAACAGGTTAATATGATGAATGTTATAGCTAATTGAGTTTTTCAATCGTTTTTGACCACGAAATATCTTAATAATAAGAATATTGTCTTAAATTTTATGTATTTAAAATCGGAAAACTAAGCATGGGTTTAATACCTACATAGTACATACCAATAAAAATTATATTAAGTCACTGTTTTAACTTTGTTAAAAATTGGTTTGATCTGCAAAATTTTGTTGACAGCTGCTCACCTAATTGTGGATGGTCATCATCGCTTATATTTATAGAGATAATAATGGACAAATATTGCATTATGTATTACATAGAATCGTCATTATCATTCAGTTATCTCGTCAACCTTTACAGATGATGTAGTACAAAAATCGAAGTTTTTTTTAATAAATTTCTACATTTTCTCGAGTAACTCTATCTTTAAATATTTTGTTTTTAGGTCAATGCAGACTTTAGAAAAAACTGATCCAAACGATTACACCGAAGTCTATAAAGAAGACGAATCTGAAGATGGTAATAACAAATTTCTTGTTAAACATTAAATACTTCAATGTCGATGATTAATCAGAAGGCATTGTTTGCAATACCACATATTACTATGTATTACAGTTAGCAAATAACATTTTTGCTAACTATATACATTTTTTTTTCGTCTTCCTATGCTGATAGTCTTCAGAGGCTATATCATCGTTACCCTAGCCGGTCATCGTTCTAGTCGAATCCGTCGCTTGCGACGAAGGGCTCGACGTGTAAATTGACCCACAGACACAGCCTACTGAGTTTCTCGCTGAATCTTTTCAGTGGGTCGCGTTTCCGATCCGGTTGTAAATTCTACGAAGCACTGCTCTTGCTAGGGCCAGTGTTAGCAATACCTCCGGCTTAAGCTCCGTGAGCTCACCGAGAGTTCGACGAGGACGGTGACTGGTGCTTGTGGTACCTAAAAGCACCGTTAATGGATGGGGAGGATCCGTAATGACATGCTTAGGGCACATTTTCTGTTATTTATCTCTAACACTACAAGCAGACTTCGGGACTCTGGTAACCGCACTCGTCGAACTCTGTAAAGAGTTCGAGGTGCAACCCAATCCGTACATAGATGCATTCGCGAAGCAGCTGTCCTTGAGCAGCTAGGTATCTCTCGGAGGCGCTCTGGCAACTGTTAGCAAATCCCACTTCTCCTGGATGAGCCGTTGCTCGCCCACCTATCCTGGTGAAACTGGAAAAGCCACCAGGACACAAGTAAATCTTAATTAAAAAAAAAAAAAATTTAAAATGAACAAAAATACACAGATGCAAATATTGCAGTATATTAGGACATTTTTTTAAATCATTTCTGTCACTTAACTTTCAATAATATAATATTCAGATGGTCTACCAGCGGTAGAGGATGCGCGCATGTGGACTCGTGATGAAATAGTTCAATTCAAAGACTCGGCTCGGTCAAGTGGAGGAATGTTGACTGTGGGACACGGAGAAACTGTAACTATAAGGGTTCCTACGCATCATCGCGCCAGGTGTATCTGTTGGGAGTTTGCCACGGACAAATACGATATTGGTAAGTATCTATGTTATCTGGAAACGCTGCGTTCATCGACAGTGCGTTTCCAAAGATCTTTTCTGCCACGTACCATCTGGCTTTGGAATGAGCTCCCCTCCACGGTGTTTCTCGAACGCTATGACATGTCCTTCTTCAAACGAGACGAGGCAACGGCCTGGCTCTGCCCTTGGCATTGCTGACGTCCATGAGCGACGGTAATCACTTACCATCAGGTGAGTCGTATGCTCGTCTGCCTACAAAGGCAATAAAAAAAAAGCATTTCTAACTTTTTATAGCTTAGATGATTGAACGAGCCCAGGACACACTTGGTATTAAGTATGTACCAGAATTCATAGATATCACAATGTTAATGTCACTGTCCATCTTTAAACATATCTTAATTGTATAGTTTAATGTGTGTCCACACCAGTCAAACTGTAATGCGTAACTGTTCCACGATAGAAACAAGCAGGCTATTGGGACCGATCCTTGTGGGCTTGTAGCAGCAATAGATATTCTGTAAGAGGTCCTACCACCAGTAATTACGCAAATTATAATTTTGCGGGTTTGATTTTTATTACACGATGTTATTCCTTCACCGTGAACAATTCAATCGTGAACATTTGTTGGGTACGTATTTCATTAGGAAAATTGGTACCCGCCTGGGATTCGAACACCAGTGCATCGCTCAACACGAATGCACCGGACGTCTTATCCTTTAGGCCACGACGACTTCTAAAATAACAAAATACAGATACAATAATTTCAAGGATCGACATCCTCAGTATTGCGTGAACAGGGCTTACAATACACTACTGGTCGTTGCATTTATTTCAACACATCGCCCTATTTGTGATCACTTCGTTTATTCGACTACATTTCCTATCCGAGTCCGCATGTTGAGTATTGGAGCTGTGTGTGCTATAGTGTACCTACATGTTCTAGTTTCGTAAATGTTTCTGATCCTTATAACTTATAACACAGTTACACACTAGGATGGAGTCGCTTAATGTGGAACATTGTTTTTTTTTTTCATTTACAATCCCAGTCTAAATGGTCCTTGTATACAACTTTAGTGTCTTTTGATGATGATTGAAGCAGTCTAGAAGACAATGTAACTCATATTATTATAGTGCATGAAGTTTACATACATACATGAATTACACTGATTAGGCTTAGCGGAAAATGTTATTAGCTATTACGTTCAAAGTGCAATCAGACCGTTCTCAAGTCGACATACTAGCAACAATATAAGCATTTAAAAAAAATGAAATTTAGGTCATAGCTGTTTTATGAGACAAAAAATAATCAATTAAAACTGTTTACTTTTTTCAGGTTTCGGTCTTTATTTTGAATGGAGCAAATCTCCGACTTCAGAAGTGACGGTTCACGTGTCAGAAAGCGACGAAGAAGATGAAGCAGAAGAGGAGGTGTACGGTGAAGAAGGTAATTTTAATTTAAAACAATAATCATCGTGGTACAGTGGTATTAATAAAGTTATTTGTTTTATTCATTTTCTGGTCGTTTTCAATTCACAGATCGGATAGAATGAATGAGTAATAATTAATTCGTCTTCTCGCATTAAAACTGTTTAATCTCAAAACTTACTAATTTTACAGGAGAGTGTTTTAAAGGTTTAACATGTGATATTTTTAATATAATCATCTTTGTAGCATTTATTTTTAATTTTTTACCAGTTAAATTATCTGTCTTTTAAGGAGTTCAAAATATAGGTATACTAAATAAACAAAACTAACACTAAACAGACAGACTTATGACAGTATTTATGAGAAAAATACTGGTGATTCCAAATGATTCCGCATATTAACTCAATTTCGAATATTTTTGGAAATTGTACATTTTTAATGGGAAAAGACGAATTATCATACCGCTTAACCTTTATTTGTTTCCAGAACTTACGGTTCAGGATTCGAACTCTGATCCTGAGTTGGGCAGCGATAGGCGAGTGCTAAGTGCGGTGAGGCCGCCCGTCAGCCTCGTGGTGCCGGTCTTCCGACGCGACTGTCACACAGAGGTTTGTATACCATGTTTGTATGTGAACTAGACTAGATATAAGGGGACCGTTACTAAAATAATCGGATTATACATAATCGGAAAAAAAAGCATAAGCAGTTGTTCTGTTTACCGGAGGACAGCTGGCGGGCTATTACTATTTCCATTACATTATCAAACAAAACAAAACGTATGGTCGACCCATACTGGTGCTGAGTTTTATATATTAACTAGCTGTATCCGTCCGCTTCGCTGTCCCTCCGCAACTGGTGTAGGGAGTCCAACACTGATATAAATATTAGCCTATCCATTAAGTACATGTCTTTTCTACATGGATACCAAGTTTCAAGTCAATCGGATGCATGGTCCCGTTATAACGGAATGGCTACTGTAGATTTATATATTAATATAGATTTAGACATGCCCTTGATTATTTTAAAACATAATCGAAATAGAATCAGAACTTGAATATAGGCCAAGAGCTGCCAAGGTTTTCTAAATGGACAATATGATAATATACATATAATTTTTTTTTTAACTGTATACATCCGTGTCGTAAATTGTTATATTTTGATGTGTTCGCAATTTGGTATTCAAAATTTAATACAATAAATTCAACTATTTATTTTCCAGGTATACGCGGGCTCCCATACTTATCCCGGTGAAGGAGTATATTTACTTAAGTTCGATAATACGTACAGTCTTTGGCGATCGAAAACATTGTATTACAAAGTATATTACACCCAATAGATTTACTTAAAATGTATTAGAAATATTATAACCATGACACGCGAAAGTAGTTGTGTTAACGTCGAAAAGTAATGAAGTTTACCTTTAAATATAATATTATTTAATGCGATGGGTTTATAGACAATATGAATAATGTTTTCTATAATTATACGCAGCTACTGTCAATTTTCCAAGAGTAGAAATGATGACACCAAACAATGTGCAATAAATTAAATATATACTATTATTGTTTTATTGTATGTAATGAAACTAAAATGAATCAAGTATTAATGAAAATTAAATATATTTTTTAACGAAACCTTTGAACTGCTTGATGTTAATGACGTTTCAGAGGAAAATATACATTTATAAACGCAATGTATCAAAATAGCGTGTAAATTTTATATATTATGTGCCATTATGTGGTTTTAATATTTAATTACTGTTAAATATTTATATTCTATTCAATTATTTTAATTAATTTAATTACTTTCTATAATCTATTAAGTCGACTATATTTTAATATAAGCAAAATGAAACAAAAAAAAACTATTGTTCGTAAAAGCGTCTATCATTATTTAAAAATATATAGTTTAAAAAAACACGCGTTGATATAATTTGCATTGTAAAGTTTTAACTAGACAAATTCTACATTTTATTGCTGTAGTTGGGTGGACATGCTCACGCTCCACATTGTGTAAGTGCCCATTGCATCAAATATTGTGACATCAAAATATTTGCTCCACGGTAAAAGTAAAAGTCGTGAGATCGTGCCCTCTATATATATATTTTTTTTTTATTGCTTAGATGGATGGATGAGCTCACAGCCCACCTGGTGTTAAGTAGTTACTGGAGCCCATAGACATCTGCAATGTAAATGCGCCACCCACCTCGAGATATAAGTTCTAAGATCTCAGTATAGTTACAACGGCTACCCCACCCTTCGAACCGAAACGCATTACTGCTTCACGGCGGAAATAGGCGGGGTGGTGGTACCTACCCGTGCGGACTCCCAAGAGGTCCTACCACCAGTGAATAATAATATGAAGAATATAATATGATATAAAAAAGTTGGATTTTGGATGGTAGTACCGCGCTTGCGGTCTAACAATAATTTAACTATAAATCATATCTGCCTGGTCCTATTTTTAATACCGTCGAATGTAGAAATGAGCATCGGGCTCACGTGATGGTAAGTGGTTACTGCTGTTCTCGGGGAACAGCAATATCAGGGACATAGTTCACCCCCGCTTAGGGAGCGCATTTCATATTTTTGAACTGACTATGAATAAGCACAGTGTGATCGATGGGTGATTGGATGATACAGGATGCGGTTGTCAGCGGCTTAATGATGAATTACAGATCGTGGGTTTATTTCAAAATATCTTTGGAGCATGTCCCGTGGAACATATAAAATGTATTAGTGTTCACCTGTGCAGATCGAAATACGACCGTGATCACTGACACATCAAAATTTATTAATTTAATGTATTGCAACTTATGTATGTATTACTTACTTTCATTTTGGAATCAACCTTCATATAATTATATAACTATAGTTTCTCTGGAACTACTAAATAAAAAGAGAGTGTATTGAAAAAAGAAAAAAAAAGTCCTGAACTGTACTTTTCCTACCTATACATTGATGTATGTCACACAACGTATTCAAAGTATTATTGTTAGCATTTAAAAAAATATAGTGATGTTATTTATAAACACATTTTTGTATAGGTGTTTGTTTTGTATATGTAAACCCAAATTGACGAGTGTAATAATTAGTAGGTATATAGTGAAATATATTGGTGGGAGTAATTGACAAAGAAAGAGATACACGATGCTTCAGAATATCTAAATTATTGTGTTGGGCGAGTCTGAGAAAAACATCTTGGTACTTGAGTGGTTAAGAACGAGAACATCCCGAACTCGATTGTAATTTTGAATCGATTGCGATTCGTTCGATTAATTAAACGTCTCCGATTCGCCCTACCGTTAATTTGTTGTAAAATTACCAGTAAAAATTTTATTAATTCAAAGCTATTTAAAAAGTACTCATTAAATTTGTCGTTGTGTTTACGATAGGTCCGTTTCCTCACCTAATTATGCTAGAATAAAAAAAAATGTATTTATTTAACTGCGTTTCTCTTAACTCGAATATGCAATATCTCGATATTATAAGTATAGTATCGTCGTTTCGAGATATTACATATTCGATTTCCTAACTATACGCTGGTAGTCTTAAAGGGGCTATTCCAGCTTCGCGCAGACGGGCAGTTGGGTTCAACCTGACAGAATTTGCTAACACCAGCGTCCAGCACTAGCAAGAGCTATGCTTCGCAGAATCTACCATGGGGTCGTAATCGCGACCCCCTGAAAAGATTTGATGAAATTGATAATCTGAAAAGATTCAGCGGGCTGTGTTTATGGCTTATCGGTTTATGTGAAGTGCATTCTAACTTGAGTAACATAACATTTGCATTAAGCATTTCGTGCTAAAGGGAGTTTAAACAAGAAACTAGTTTTTTACGAGGCTTCATATCCGAAAATACTATAACTTTCCGTGCGATTTAATTATTAAAAAAAAATTTCTTAAGCAATTTAAAAACTCACTAAATTCAAACTATTTCAAATGAAACTAACTAGGTACATACATGGGTAAGCGTATTACGGGTTTATGGTGTTAAGTTTTTACCAAGATCCATAGACATTCCAATGTGAATGCCGCCATGCGCCACCCACCTCGAGACATGAACTGGCAAATTAAAGATTCTATTGTTTAATAAGTGTCAAAAAAATGCCTCGATATTATCTACCACTAGGAATTACACAAAATTCATTTTGTGGATTTGATTTGTGTTACAAGATTTAATTTCCTCGTTGAAGTCGTCCGTTATGTTCCGTAACAGGTTTCCGTTACGTACGTACATATATCCTTAAAAATGTTGTCTATCAGCCCGACTCCAATACCAGCATTAGTAAACTGGGCAATCTTATCTCTGCAGCCACGATGACGTATGTATAATTTGACCTTTTTTTCTACAGCTATTAAAAGCCAAATTAATTAATCGGTAAAATTATTACATATTTCATAAAATAAAAAAAAGATGCTACAAAATATATATTTTTTGTATTTGGTTGGTAGTGTTTGTGAGATTGTTACTATTTCTGGAATTATTATAATATATTCATTTTAAAACAATAATATAATATGTTATGTTGATTATAGACTAATGAGAAATACTTTTTACCTAAAATTCCTGAGCGGCTGAGCTATCGCACTATTTCTATTTTGAAAATGTCATTGTCAAATTTATTGTCAAATCCAAAAACACTCCACAACAGCAGCTAATCACTGTCAAATTGGATTAATATTTTTGTACACACTAAAATTTCGTAAAATTATAATGTTACGACTTCTTCAAAATTTGGAACTGAAAATATCTAGTAGGCATACAAATTTATGGCACAAAATTCAATACAAAAAATATTTATGTTATCAGTGTGGTGTCAGGTTTTATAGTCACAAACCGAAAACACAAAATTGTGATAGGACTTTTCTTAATAGAAATAGGGCATTTCATTTTAAATTAAGGTATTACACTAGCCAGATAGATGCACAAAAAAATGAAGAACCCATTGAAAATGTAAAAAATAAAACCACATTAGTCACGGGCAAGAAAATTAATGTAAAATTAAAAACTTCAGAACTAAAACGATTACTTGGACTGGCCGAACCTGAAAAATGGACATTAACTGGTAAGTAATAGGTTTTATTTCTTCTATTAGACTATATGGACGTCTTGAATACTATCTATGCATCAAGTAATGCAGAGTCTATTCATTTATTTAAAGAAATTAGATGTTTCATGGTTCTGTTAAGAAATAAATAAAAGTAAAAGTCCTTATTTTCGTAGGTCTGTTCACAAATAGGGCAATAAGATAAAATTGAAAATTATTCAGTCACAGTTGATTTGAATTGGGTACACTAAAAAAAGCTTAAGATAAAGCAGGAAATGTATTCATTCATTAATTAAGATCAGATCATCTCTTTTAGTAACAATTAAACGTTTTTTTTTATTTTCATTATTAGTATAAATGAAGACATTTATTAAAAATGCTCTAGAGCTCATACTTCTTCTGGCATGGTTTGATAACTATTCTAGTTACCAAACTTGAATTTAATGTGTTAATATTGTTAACATTAATTTTATTAAATATTAATTTTCTTAATAATGAAAGAATTTCATTCGAGCTCTACACCCCAGCAGAGGGTAATAGGAAAAAAAGAAGAAGTGGCCATTTCTCCCTTTGAACCAGATCACATGACCATTTTAAGAAATAAGCAAGATTTGCCTTTGTGTGATAATGAAGAAATAATTTATGTTTTAATTACATTATATGGTGACTGTCCTGTCACTGGATGCGTAAATATCACATTTTGAATTCAGCCATATATGTAAATATACCTTGAGACGTAATGTTGAAATCTCAATTTTAGTGAAATAGCAATTAAGACTACTTTTGGCCAGATATATCCAAAATGGTATTACTTACCTGTGTAACACCCAAATAACACCCTTCTCTCCTCAAACAAATAGTATATATAGAATAAAATGATTTGAATGAAAAATGGTTGGATATTATTTGAATGAAATTTGAAAATGATTTGAGTCAAAAATGATAAAGTGAGTCGACTATTATCAAAGCCGGCAATCTGACTTTTGGACAATGATTGGTAAATCAGAAAAACGAATTATTGACTTTGTATTCCATTGGCAGTCACAAAACTCTTCGGAATGACATCTTAGATAAATAACAGGTTAACTATTAACCTTTATTTAATGCAGGTTTTGAACCCTATTCTTTGAAGGAGACGATTATATTCAAATCAATCTGTATTGACATATCAATAATTTTTTTTGTCCAAATGCACAGATTGCCACCTTTGATAATAGACGACTCAAGTATAAGATAATAAGATGATTTTAAACACACTTAAAACACTTTAAACCACACACAAAACTTGATGCTGTTGTAACTTATCACTTTCAGCTATTCAGGTAGACTCTTTTGGTTTTTTAAAAATAATTATTTTTTATCTGAAATAATGATTTTAGCTTGTGTCCTTAACATAGTGGTCAAGTATGCAAATAATTTTCTAAAAGGACAGTCATGATATTTATTCACTATTTTAGCTTTCAATTTTAATTTCAGGCGCCATTGGTTTCCTAATAGTGTCATCAAGTGTGACGATGGCCGTGCCATTTTCCCTCGGCAAGGTACTTGATATAATATACAATAGTACAAGTGACTTAGCTGCTGCTAGAGAAAAGCTCGATGCATTATGTCTGATGCTCTGTGGGGTATTCTTAATAGGAGGCCTGTGTAACTTTGGAAGAGTTTACCTGATGTCCATATCTGGTGAGAATAGATTTAATCAAATGATAATAAATAGATAGTAAATAAAAGTGAAGATTCAAAATAGGACATTAGAAAAGATAGTAATAAACAAATCGGGTATAAATGTAAGTATCTCAGTTAACGAAAATAAGTGTACATATTTATTGGCGGCATTTTATAAATATAGATAAAATATAGATATTACTTTTTAGGGCAAAGGATGACCCAGGCTCTCCGGAAACAAGTCTATGGTGCGATTTTAAAACAAGAAACGGCGTGGTTTGGAAGAACATCTACGGGGGAACTAGTTAACAGATTATCTGCAGATACACAGCTTGTGGGCCGTAATCTCAGTCAAAATGTTAGCGACGGCCTTAGGTCTTTGTTTATGGTTGGGGCTGGAACAGGAATGATGGTAAGATTTGAAAATATTATTTGTATTTTAAGAAAATCTGATTGCTGCATATTATATACGTAAATCGTATGTATTATTATTTAAAACTGAAAGTAGATGATCATTATAAAATGCAACGGAAATTATATTGTATTGATTTAGTTTTCGGCAGCTGTAATACATTAAAATTGTCACTTTGAATTGCTCAAGTGTTAATTAAATGTAAATGAATTTTAATTTACAACTGCGGAGCTTATGTAATCACTATCGGCTAGTAATCAGAAGGTACATTATAGATTCCGGACATTCACGAAATTTCACTGCTTTTAATTTTTCCCCCTCTGTTTTTTATTCGTATTAAAGGTTCTAATTTGGTGGTCTTTTGACGAGATCAACTCGAAACATAATCGCATTTGTTTAATTAGGAAGCGAGAAAATCGTGTATTCGATTGTAATTGTGCACCATTTTTTCATTCTTAAGATACCAGTAGCCTCGAGCGCAGTTGCGGATTAAAGGTCCAGAGCGCCCTTGGCAAACACTTTATCGGCGCCCCTGTACCGGCCATAAATGGCCATCATAATACTATAAATTTTAACTAGTTGTTTTTGCAATTACGATGACGTTGTATCAGCAAACCCTAGACTTTAGTAGACCAGGACCCTTGCACTTACGCTAATGCGCGAATGAAATACAAACAAATCCGCAATATTGCATAATACGAGTATATCGATGCTTGTGCAATATATACCTAATCTATTATAGATTTAGATTACAGATCAGCATTTAGTTCTTAATCGTCGATATTTTATTTTCTTTATTTATTTAAAAATTCGGAGCTCGCGCGCCCCTTGTAACTACACGTCCCTAGGCACGTGCCTAGTTTGCCTTACGGATAATCCGCCTCTGCTCGAGCGGCTATTCTAGTTTCACCCTAATTGGTAGGTGAGCTCACAGGGCTCAGCCTAAAAGACGTTGCTTACATCTGCCCTAGCAACGTAGTGCTTCGCCGATACCGCCGTATCAGATTTGCGACCCACTGAGAAGACCCCGCAAGAAACTTAGTGGTTTGTGTCTATGGGTTAAGTTCTTTTCTTAGCTTATTCATAATTTGTTCCAGTTCTACATGTCGCCTTCATTGGCTTTGATCGGACTGTGTGTGGTACCGCCTGTTTCAATGTTGGCTGTCATATATGGACGGTTCGTCCGTGGGATCACAAGGGAGTTGCAAGATTCACTTGCAGAAACGAGCGAAGTATGCTACCACAAATATTAATATTTATCATTTTAGTTTCGTAATGGTATTAGTGAAGTTTTGTAAAAGAGTTTTAACGTTTTATATCAGGGTAGATGCATAGATTACCTCATAATAAACACTGAGTAAAGTCGATACACACCTCCACTCGAATACCGTCATTCGATTTGAGACACCTAAAATATTTAAAATTAAGATTAAAAAAACAAAACAAATATATAAATATGTAAATTCAGTGAAACTAATTTCACAAAGAACAGTCGTATGTAACAAAGGAAAGAATAAGTAATTAGTGAAATGTAAATTTTATTTGTCAAAAATATAATGAAGCCAAGTCTGTTTTAAACACTGGAATGTATTTTACTAAATACGATATTATATATGTTAATTTTAATTTGTAGCTTGCCGAAGAAAAAATATCAAACATAAAGACTGTGAAAGCATTTAGCAAGGAGCCAAAGGAATGCGAATCTTATGCAAAGAGGATTGAAAATTTACTGAATTTGGCTTACAAGGAGTCATTAGCGGTCGGCAGTTTCTACGGTTTGGTGAGAAATGAACTATTAATTTATTGTGAAACAAACTTACTGGTGGTAGGACCTCTTGAGCGTCTGCGCGGGTAGGTACCCACCACCTTGCCTATTTCTGCCGTAAAGCAGTAATGCATTTCGGTTTGAAGGGTGGGGTAGCCGTTGTAACTATACTTGAGACCTTAGAACTTATATTTCAAGGTGGGTGGCGTATTTACGTTGTAGATGTCCATGAGCTCCAGTAACCACTTAACACCAGGTGGGCTGTGGGCTCGTCCACCCATCTAAGCAATAAAAAAACACATCGACTTAATACACATTTAAATTTAAAACATCAAATTTTATTGAACATCTCTATATTACATTGTAATGAAAACCGCGATGATCTAGTGATTATTTTTCGACACAGAGTCGGCTTAATTCTTCGGTGGAGTTAGTGTAGATGGAGTTTGTGAAAGGTATCTGGTCTATGGGTGCACTTAATTTTATTTATGTGTTTTGGGCACGCACAATACAGATGAAACTCTTTGCTCGGGGCCAATGGATGTGGAATACTTTTAATTTACAACGATTTCCAGAAAGTTCGCGATTTTTTTGTTAAACCATAGAGCAATATAATTTTTATTTATTTAACTTTAGCGTACAAATTATAATGAAAAAAATAATTGTTAAACGAATAACTTATTGTTTGTATTTCGTTAATGTTTTAGATTAATTCAAATAAAAACATATTTTTAGACTGGCCTCGCGGGAAATACTATAATAATATTAGTTTTATATTACGGAGGAGGCATGGTGGCGACAGAGCAACTCACAGTCGGTAACTTGACATCGTTCCTACTGTACGCTGCGTATGTGGGGATTAGTATTGGTGGACTGAGTAGTTTCTACACGGAACTAAATAAGGGCATGGGAGCCGCGACCAGACTGTGGGAGATCATTGATAGGGAGCCCAAAATTCCTGTCACAGGTTAGTTATGCAGTTCATTCATTCGGTCGTTCATTCATTTTTTTCCTACCAATGCTGATAGCCTTGAGAGGCTACTTCAGCTTCACCCTAACGTGTAGGTGAGCTCACGGGGCTCAAACCGGAGGTGCTGCTAATACTGGCCCTAGCCAGAGCAGTGTTTCGCAGAATCTACGACCGGAAAGGGAACGCGACCCACTGAGAAGATCCGGCGAGAAACTCAGTGGGCTGAGTCTGTGGGTTTTTTACTCGTTGAGCCCTTCGTCGCAAACGACGGGTTCGTTAGGGACGGTGACCTTGAGGTATCTAGGTAGGCAGCGGCTTGGTTCTGCCCCTGGCATTGCTGAAGTCCATGGGCGACGGTAACCACTCACCATCAGGTGGGCCGTATGCTCGTCTGCTTACAAGGCAATAAAAAAAAAACCTAAAGCACCGTTAATGGATCGGGAGGATCCGTAATGACGTGTGATACATTTTGCAAATTCTGTCAAACATAAAGAAATATTACGCTTTGAAAATTCTTAATACAGTACGAATCTTTTGATCATCGTGAATTGTACACGGAATGAATTCATTTTTTCAGGAGGCTTAATACCGAAAGAGAAACCGAACGGCGAAATAATATTAGAAAAAGTACATTTCTCCTACAACGATGCGCCTCTAATACGAGGACTGGATCTTCATTTGAGACCCGGGAAGTCAGTTGCGCTTGTCGGCAGATCTGGCTGCGGGAAAAGCACCATAGCATCGCTTATATTGAGACTCTACGACCCGGATAAGGGCAGAGTTCTACTCGACGGAGTCGACATACGGGAACTAGATCCGATGTGGTTGAGGAGTCTGATCGGCTACGTTGGTCAAGTACGTAAACTTTCCCGTTTATCTACTCACATAAAAAAATATATTTAACGGGTCTTAATCATGATTATATAATAATAGTGATGCTATGACTTCCATGGTGAAGGAATAACATCGTATTATAAAAATCAAGCTCGCAGACATGCGTTTCGGTTTGAAGGATGGAGCTGTATGTAAATAATAAAAACAAAAAAAATATATATTACGTTGATAGGTGGACGAGCTCACAGCCCACCTGGTGTTAAGTGGTAACTGGAGCCCATAGAAATCTACAACGTAAATGCGCCACCCACCTTGAGATATAAGTTCTAAGGTCTCAGTACAGTTACAACGGCTGCCCCACCCTTCAAACCGAAACGCATTACTGCTTCACGGCGGATATAGGCAAAGCAGTGGTAGCTACCCGTGCGGACGCACAGGATGTCCTATCACCAGTAACAAATTATTAACAAATAAAACTGTTTGTTACGCCTTAACGATATTTCTTAATGATTCTCAATTTATCGCACTAACCGTAACGTTATTCGTTTTAAGGAACCGGTGTTGTTCAGTGGAACAGTCAAGGAAAATATTCTATACGGAGCTTTAGATGAAAACGAAGAAGTACAAAATGAAAAGGTAATTATAAAAAACATTTATGTATTTTAGTGATATTAAAAAAAAAAAATTGATAGCGGATTCTAGCTTGACGTAAAATTATCTACAGTACAAGTAGAGCTAAGATGCTACTTTTAAGCGTCTTTATTCTAATAGGTAAGAGCCTTTTTTTATTGCTTAGGTGGGTAGACGAGCCCATGGCCCGCCTGGTGTTAAGTGGTTACCGGAGCCCATAGACATCTACAACGTAAATGCCGCCATCTACCTTGAGATACGAGTTCTAAGGTATCAGTATAGTTACAACGGTTGCCCCGCCCTTCAAACCAAAACGCATTACTGCTTCACGGCAGAAATAGGCAGGGTGGTGGTACCTACCCGTGCGGACTCAGAAGAGGTCCTACTACCAGTAAGACTGCATGCTCGCGTTCGAATCATGCCTCGAGGGTAGCGTTACTCACATTATAATGTTTATATGATCTCCGGTTGCCACTTCAAAAATCTTAAGTTTACAACAAAGCTTAAAAAATGCATAGAGACGCTGCAGCTCTCTGGTTAAGCGATCTGACCCCAAAAAAGGTTTGAAAAAACCTTTTTTTTGTTATTCTTTATTAGAGCCATACACCTATTAGGTTAAGTTGGCTATTTGAAAGAACCTTCATTTAAAAAATAAGAGTAAATATCCAAAGAGGTATCGTTAACTTTTTTCATGGCTACTTTAAAATCGAGAATTTTTCGATTTTCCGATTCGATTGTCGTATTAAATTTGTAACGATCGTGTAATCATGATTGATGATCGTCTCCTACTCGAAAGAAAATCGAACATTTCGGAGTTATACGTAACATGCAGATAGATTAATTTACCTACTACGGTATTTTCGGTGAGCCTCATGTCTTTTATTTAAACGAAGCTTATGGAAAGTTTTACAACAGGGCAGGCAGCGTCTATGTAAATAAAAACGAAATACTGTTCGTTGGTAATCGCAGCACTTGAGAACGCCCGGACTTATTTCGATAATTTTATCTTCACAATAGTTCAAGTGAGGTTCTGGACTGGACGAATTATGTGAACTAGTTAAGCTGCTTTCAGACTACGCTATACTATAGTGCCATATAGTAAAGCAATGTATACTTAACCAATAATATATAGTACAGTACAGTGTGAACGTGTCCATAACAATGTATGGTGCGCGATATTGTTGTGCTATGAGCTATATACTGTTACGCGCTGGGGTTCGGGATAAATAAAATTCCACCAAAGTACAACTAAAAACTGTATTCAACACTTAAAACACTCAACAAATACTTTAAAACTCTCAATTCGTTTCTTCCGCTTCGCTTCAGGTGATCCGTTGGCTGTTTCGCTTCGACTAGTTCCGATTACTAACTGACTGCGTGCCATCTCTACAAAGCTTTTATTGCCGATTCCACATCCCTAGAATTACAGAGTATATTCCACACATTTCGAGTATTGTGTTTCCGCTATCTGACAATAGATGGCGTTGTACTTCTCGAGCGCTCTAGATGCTACTAGATCCTTCTATATTCGTTCGGCTATTCGGCGATAGATAGCGTTACTCTTGCCGGTGTAACAATACTATATGCTATTATTTATAGCGTAGTTCGAGTCTTCCATTTAAACGTCAACATTTCCGAATAAAGCGTTTAGTAAAACTACTATTATTATTTGTCTTATTTCTAATGCTACAGTTTTAGAGTAATACAAAAATCATAATTGAAATATCCCTAAAAAAAGGTATATTTTTATCAAATTAGGTGTATTAATTATCTTCAGCTCTTTGATATAAATCTCAAGTCATTAGAAAAGGACCAGGCTTTTTTTAATGACTTTTAAATTTTACATAAGGAGCCGCGATGAGTTTTATATCAAAGGGCTGAAGATAAGTAAATAAAAATAGTCATTAAAAGTCGTCGTGGCCTAAACGATAAGAAGTATCTTGCGGTGCACCGGTGTTCGAATCCCGCAGGCGGGTACCAATTTTTCCAATGAAATACGTACTTAACAAATGTTCTCTCTCCATTTACTTCCACGGTGAAGGAATAACATCGTGTAGTAAAAATTTAAACAATTGCACTTGAAATTTTACTGGTGGTAGGACCTCTTGTGAGTCCGCACGGGCAGGTACCACCACACCGCTATTTCTGTCGTGAAGCAGTAATGCGTTTCGGTTCGAAGGGTGGGGCAGCTGTTGTAACTATACTGAGATCTTAAAACTTATATCTCAAGGTAGGTGGGGGAATTTACGTTGTAGATGTCTATGGGCTTCGGTAACCGCTTCACATAAGGTGGGCCGTGAGCTCGTCCACCCCAGTAAGCAATAAAAAAAGATTGAAACAGTTGCATACGATGAAACATATTTTATTTGCAACTAGCGACCCACCCTCGCTTCGCTTCGGAAACTGTAATTTATTATTGATTTCTCCACTATTTAATGGATATTATTATACATATAAACCTTCCTCTTCAATAACTCCCTCTATTAAAAAAAAATCGCATCTAAATCCGTTGCTTAGTTTTAAAGATTTAAGCATATTATATATATACATGGGGGTAAAGGGACAGAGAAAGCAACTTTGTTTTATATTATGTAGTGAAGTGCTTGTTTCTTACCAAGGACGAGCCGGCGTGGATGGTGGCAGCCCGCACTGCTCATCTGCACGAGCTAGTGACCGGCACCCGGCAAGGCTGGGACAGAGAGGTAGGCGCCGGCGGTAGTCAGCTGAGCGGGGGACAGAAACAAAGGGTGGCCATTGCACGGGCCATTGTTAAGGTAACTTATCAGCTATTGTTTACGGTATGCAGCGGCTTGGCTCTGCCCCTGGCATTGCTGAAGTCCATGGGCGACGGTAACCACTCACTATCAGGTGGGCCGTATGCTCGTCTGCCTACAAGGGCAATAAAAATAAACTTGATTTTTTAAATGTTTTTATTCTATTATCTTAATGGTTCCCAAAAGAAAGATACGACAGATTCTTTGGTTAATTTATACTGAGAAAATAAAACATTGAAAATTTAGTAAAAAAATATATATAAAATTAGAATGAGTTGGAATCATGATAAGACCCTTTTTAAATGAAATAATTGTAATCAATAAAACTCTGAAAACAGTTTCGAAAGAAACCAAATTACATATATCTTGTATTAAACTATGGTATTCTTTTTTAGAATCCGAAAATCTTGATCCTCGACGAAGCCACATCAGCGCTAGATACGTATTCGGAGTACTTAGTTGATAAAGCTTTAAAAGAGATCAGTAAGTCTAGAACAGTGTTGACCATAGCGCACAGGTTGAGCACGATACAGTCCGCGGACGAGGTCGCTGTGCTCGAGAATGGAGTGGTAGTCGAGACGGGACCTTACGCCGAGCTGGTAGCCAAACCGGACGGCCTCTTTAGGGAGTTGATAACGCATCAAACGTTTACCGCGAAATCGAGAGACAAAAAGGATATGCAGAAAAGTCAATGAGTTTTATGTACCTCATCACAAAAACGTCCAAGCAAGGATCAAAATCTGTTGACGGCTACTAAATCGGTTCCCGGCATATTGTCGTTGCAAATTTAAAATCTCTTAAGTGACATTTTTAGCCAAAATGATGTTTTCATATATTATTGATGAAAGTTATTTTGAATACCTATACTCAGAAAAAACTCTCATCTGCATATCTTTATTAGGCGTCAATCTTAAAAAATCCTAAGTGTCGCGGTTTGCTTTTTATTGTAGATCAAAGTATACTGTGTGCTCAAAAAAATATTTGCATATATTTTTTTTTTTCAGGAGGTACTTTTATTAGATTTTCTCGAAAACTATTATACATTTATACACATAGGAGATTTCAAATTTGCAACGACGATATGTTAGTTTTTAAATTATTTACGTAATGTTACCCGTTAATTGTGGCAATGTGTGTAAACATGTAACTCGTTAATTGTGGCAATGTGTGTAACATCATAATGTCCTTTTTTCACGGTCCGACTCTGCCCGTATTTTTAGTTTTCAAGTGTATATTTTATTAGAAACGTCTCATTTACTTGGCTTAGCTGTACGCTTGGGCTATTTTCAAATTAAACGTTCGGTTATTATGTGGACCAAATTGTGTTAACGTGGATAAGATGGATAAGCTTATTATAAATTGTCTATTTTGTTTTTCGATAAATTAGTACGTCATGTTGAAAAATTTGAAAAGGAAAACTTTGTATATTAGCGGAAAGTGTTTGTTGTTTAATTGTTGAATTTATTGTAATTTTATTTAAAATAAATATATATTATATATTATTTAACTGTCGAGTGACAAGGGTTATGGATAAATTTACGCATGGAACAAATAAATGGTTGTTGTTTTCGGAAAGTGAATCGTCATTTTAATTAATTTGAAAAATAACTATATAAATATGAAGGTAAGTGCTCACTACAAATTGAATATAAATTAAGATATGTGTATCCATCCTGCCTACTTTTGCCGCGAAATGGTAATGAGCTCTTGTGTCAAGAATGAGACAGTCTTTGTAATATACAAAGTCAGACTTAGACCTCATGTTTCTAGTTTCTAGGACATTCACCTTATCGAGAATTGAAAGGCTATTTGGTTTAAGCGACATTTCACTTAATACGCAACATTTATCTTTGTAATTAAAGGTGTGTTTTATTTGGTATTAGCATCAATAGTTCGATGTTTTTAATTGAATTTCAATTAAGTTTATTCCATTCAAATAGCTGTAGAAGTTTTTTTGTTATGATATTTTTTTTTCAAAATTTAAACTTTAAATGGCTCTCCTATAAAGTTGCAAAAATGTCGGTTAAAACAAAACACCTACCATGAAATTTAAGTTTTATTGACAAAATTAATGTTGTGAAATAAACACTGGCCTTTGATATATGTACACTATTGGCGGCATAATACATACTATGATGAACTACTACCGTGATGAACAACTAAAACGAAACTACGCTAATTTGCAACACGTAAAGCGTTTGTTGTTACTACGTCATAATCATAACAAACAGTATAAATATGTAAATGGACCTTGCCCTGAGCGGGTGTATAAACCTCGCCAAAGTCTCCGCTAGACTCGCGTCCGTACACTTGCGCTCAGACGGTACGCGTGAGAACATCGCAACATGGCGTCTCATTTGAAAGCGGTACGCGGGAATTTTGCGCGCCAAATCTTGAACTGCGCGAGAAATGAGAAAAAAATAAAAAGCAATCGCGTAATTCCTCAAGGCGTTTTGAGGAGGGACTTTGCCACACGTACCGCAACTGTGTCGGACAGTAAGTGCTTGAGTTCTCCGTGGGGTGAAATTCAAATTGGAAAAGAAACGCTCACGGATCACGTCTTCGGTGAGGTGGAGTCATGGGCGGACAAACCATCTGTGGTGAGTTTTTTTTTTAAGCTTAATACTAATTTTGGTAGCGTTAAAAGTTGTTGAAAAAGTGTTCGTAGTACATAATTACAGAAAATTGAAAGTGTTGTTAAAAAATTGAAAGCACCAGGAAAATTAATGATAATACTGATTATTTATTTTCTTTAGTACTATAATGTTCACTCATAATTTATCTCTTCCACTGAAAGCTCGCGTAAATCGCCTCAATATAAGATATTACCAAACACATGAATGAATCAACAAGTAGATGTAAAGAATGTAGTAGCTACAGCAAAGAGAATTTAACAATTCAAAAGAATTACACAAAATGTATAATTTATTATTTAGTACAACATCTTTCAGCTGTTTAAACAAATCTTTAAAACGCATTACCAACTTTAGGAATGTAGTTCAATGTAATTCAATGATTACCTAAAACTCTTACTTCACTCCTCATAAAATAATTTACTGTTCATTTTAATGAAGGAAGTGAGCGCATAAGTAAATCGAAAGCATATAATCAATTAAACATCATTAAAATAGTGCAGTTACAATTATCCAGAGTACAAAGTTCACTGTTCTTTAATGTATACGGATGTAAGAAGAATATGATATGGTATAAATAGTGTGCGTTTGAAGGTTGAGGTTACATGACAGATGCTTGGCATCGAACACGCAACGCTGAAAATGGGGAAATGAAATGAATCGAAATTCATTGGCATAACGGTAGATAAATTACTAAGGACATAAGTTTATAAATATGTTTCCAAGAAGAAGGTGCCGTAAAATACATTTCGATGTTTTAATGGCCCTGATAAATACTAGGGAAAGTACGAACATACATACTTTGCAATCCCTCCCTTCGTGCTTTTTATTAATTTTTCTGTTTTTAAAAGACACTAACATTATAAACTTAGGCATCGGCTTGACTGTGCTATTGGAATTGCCAATATCCATGAGCAACGGTAACCTCATGCAATCTCTGCTTGAATGCTTGATTAGAATAAAAAACATTTGTCGGTCAATAAACCTGGTAGTCAATTTTAAATAACTGAATTTTCACTACTAGATATCGCGCTATGTCCGCGTGCCCCCCTTGTTTTCGATATTGGTCTTCCAACAAAACTTAATACACGGGTTTTCTAATGTAAAATTTTTTTTTTTCAAATTCCGATGATACCTTAAGAAATCTCCAGATTTTCATAATATTTCAACGTCTGTTCGCCCGATATACTTTTTTAATTTGAAATGTTTACAGAGGTACGAAGTGTCATTTTCGTTACCTGCCTAAGCATTTTTTTTTGTTGCTTAGATGGCTGGACTAGCTCACAGCCCACCTGGTGTTAAGTGGTTACTGGAGCCCATAGACATCCACAACGTAAATGCGCCACCCACCTTGAGATATAAGTTCTAAAGTCTCAAGTATAGTTACAACGGCTGCCCCACCCTTCAAACCGAAACGCATTACTTCTTCACGGCAGAAATAGGCAGGGTGGTGGTACCCACCCGCGAGGACTCAAGAGGTCCTACCACCAGTAAGACAAAAGGACCTACCACCAGTAATCGCATTTTTGCGATTTTAATTAAAAAATAAACAGTTCTTGTTGATTATGTGTGCTTGATCAGCGTTTTTGAATTAGATAGCCTGGAAATGTTATAATAATATGTATTGGTTTATGCACTAGGTGTAGTTTACCTACCAATTGCCTTATTTGCAAACATGACACTTTTATCTTGATACGATGTTAAATGTAATCTATAAAAACGATTATAAATATATTTTTGTTACAGTGCAGTGTTTACTGCTTACTTCATGAAATAGTTTAATATAGTAACTTTCATGCATACACTAATTTTTACCTAACATGTTGAAATTTTACTTCATTTCGTACGCGTATCTATGTGCATAATTTAGTACATTGTGTACGATGCATTTGATGAAATATTTCCACTCGATAATAAAGTAATTCAAATTTTACAATATTTATTCTAAATATCAATTAAAAATCTTACTGGTGGTAGGACCTCTTGTGAGCCCGCGCGGATAGGTACCACCACCCTGCCTATTCCTGCCGTGAAGCAGTAATGCGTTTCGGTTTGAAGGGTGGGGCAGCCGTTGTAACTATACTTGAGACCTTAGAACTTACATCTCATGGTGGGTTGCGCATTTACGTTGTAGAAGTCTATGGGCTCCAGTAACCACTTAACACAAGGTGGGCTGTAAAATAAAATATATATAAAATATCTAATACAACTTTATAACAGTAAAAAGAAAAATGTGTTCCGACTCAGCATTTTTATCTCACACGGTCACGGAAATTTGCCTGTGCATTTAATTATTAAAATAATATTAATCTTAAACACCTAAACAAAGTGAAAAAATCCTGTTCTTTTTTTGTTATATAATAGGCAGGGCGGTGGTACCTACATTTGTTGAGTACGAATTTCATTACAAAAATTGGTACCCCCCTGGGATTCGAACACTGGTGCATCGCTCAAGACGAATGAACCGGACGTCTTATCCTTTAGGCCAGGACGTCTTCAAAATGATTCGTCATATGAATACTTGCCCTTAGTGGGATCTCAAGAATCTCGGCTCAAGATCCAGGGGACGCTAACTATTGCGACATTGAGTCAGTCTTCGGCGCCGAAGATTTCAAGAAAACACTGAAGATAAAATAATATAAGATCCTTTGCACTCAGTTTTTTTAAATTACTTTTACGAATTAAATATAGTCTATGTTACCATATTGGCATGTTTTAGAAATAATCTCTAATACTGTTAAAAAGGTAAATACCAAACACTGGTCATTTTTATGTAGCATCGTGTATGACGATGTTTTCCTTTCAGCAAGGTTAAATCCGTATTCGTATACATATAACATATGGACGTCAATATTCACTCTTAGAATGGCATACCTTACACTGGCCATTAGATTCTTATAAGGATGTATGTATCACGTGCTCACAAGCGACTTCCACGAAGAAAGAAAAACACTGTGTCATAAAAATCGCTAATTAGTCGTATTAAGTCTACCCAAGTGGTTAATGAAGACCATAGACATCACAACGTAAAAGCCACCATCCTCCTTCATACGTATTACCTATATACATCGTTGGAATAAAAGTTTTGTGGATTTAAACACGATTTTCCAACATACAATGTAAAGGGCGACCAGCGTCTACGGTACAAAGCGATTAAAATATTGCAACACAAGAGACGGTATCTCGTGCCAAAATACTTTATCTTGCACCAGTTTCTATGTTATTCCAATAACAAACTGAACTTTGAACGGAGTTTTTAATAAATAAAGGCCGCCGGTTGCTCTAAAGTAAATATAAAACCAGAGTGTATTGACCGACACGTTAAAGATTATTTTGTCGGTCGATCTGAATTATACGAAGAAAAAAAAATTGAAGTTCTCAAAAGCAACGTAATGTTATGTTATTTTGCAGACTTGCGGCTCATCGGGTCGTTCATACGACTATGGTATGATGCGGATGATGGTGGAACGTTGCGCGAATGCTCTCGTCGGTCATCTGAAAATGAAGCCAGGCGAGAAAATAGGCCTTATCCTGCCGAACATTCCCGAATTTGTCGTCCTCATCCATGGTGCTATGAAGGCGGGACTTGTGGTGACATTTGCGAATCCTCTTTACACTGCAGGTTACTACTATGTCCCTATTATACGACGTAAATTGATGTACATCAAAGCTTCTCATCTATGAAGTGCTTTTGGCATGGCCGAAATCTATGCAGTGGAAGCTTTCCCATCAAGTGGATCGCACGCTTTTCGGTGCATCCGAGTAATAAAATTACGAAGTAAAATTGTACTATTCAAATCCTATATATTTGTGTCTGTCTTGTGTATGTCTATATATTTATTACATGAATTTTAAAATGGAAAAAGGTAGGTATGATCGCGTTGATCAGAATGGTTATGGAAATGGCATGACTAAATGTATGTATGTATATATTTTAGTAACCTGAGACGGCCGTTATATAATTCAATT